TGCCCTGCAGGACAGAGCTGCGGCAGGGCAGCAGAACATGTTAGAGATAAACAGAATAAACAACCTTGAAACAGCACAGACCAATTATGGCTTCTGCTTTGGCAGCGGGGCTGACAGACAGAGACTTTCTACAATCTCGGGATCATCAATACCTCAGATTCCAACACTGATCCCACGGGATGATCCCACAGGAGGGGGAAAAGCAGCCCAGGAACAGCCAGCGCAGTTGCAGAAGGCGCTGGTTGCCATGGGATCTTCCCAACCCAAACTGCCGCGGCTCTGGCAAACACAAGAAGAGGCCCTTTCATGGTTTCTATGGGAAGTCAGAGCCTCCCCACAGCCTCCCGGGCTGGAGCCCTGCCCGGGGCAGGAAGGATTTGGGGACACTGGGGAATTCCCAGGAGAGCTTTTCCCGGGTGCGCCTCGGAGGTCGCTCGGTACCAGGAGCTGTGCCCACCTTCTGCCCGGTACGGGGCAGACATTCCCTGCTCCTCCTGCTGGGCCTTGTTCCCACCAGGAATCCCCCCAGCACGGAGGATTTTCCTGCTGGGGCTGAGGAAGCTCAGCCCCTTCACCCTGAGCCCCCTCGGGATGCGCAGCCGGAGCATCCCAGGTGAGATTCCACATCCAGGTTCCAAACTGCTGCAGCCCCCAGACCCTCCAGGAGCAGCCCCCAGACCCTCCAGGAGCAGCCCCCAGACCCTAAAGCAGCTCTGGGCTGTCCCCAAAGGCTGTCTCAGCCTTCCCCATCCACCCAGCCCAGTTCTCCGTGCTGGAATTCCCTCCCCGGAGAAATCTGAGTTCATTCCCTTGCTATTTCTAAATCGAGGTGGAAATCCCTCTGGTTTTGTTCCCAGCGCTGTCGGTCGCCACGGTTGGGTCCCTTTAACTGGAGATCAAATCCCGGAGAGGATGAGCCAGGTCCATGAATAAATAATTGCATTAAATCCTGGTTAAGGGCTGGGGGAATGCGGGGCAGGACGAGGCGATGGGGCCGCTCCCTCCTGCCCCTCTCCAGCTCCGGCTCTGCCCCGCAGCCTCTCAGCGCTTCACACCCAATAAATTAATCATCAGCCGCAGTTTAAGTAGGTCTGGAAAGTGGAAAACAACATCCGCAAGGATCTGGCGTCCCCCCGGCCAGAGATTTGTCTGCCTGTCCATCTGCTGGAGGAGCAGACAGATCCTAATCTGTCCGTCTGCGGGGATCCTGCAAATTCCTGCAAATTCCTGCAAATTCCTGCAAATTCCTGCAAATTCCTGCAAATTCCTGCTCCTTCCCAAGCTCCCGGAGCATCTCCTGCCCCGCTCAGCTCCTGGCAGGGCGGGGACGGGACTGGTTCCCACTGGGAGGGTTGGATGGGGCTGGAATTCAGCGATTTCGGGTTTGGGATGGCTCCTGGCCTCCAGCACGGCGTGGCCAAATGTCCCCAGGGTGACAGGGAGGAGGGGAAGGTGGGAGATGGGAAAGGTGGGAGAGAAGCTGGGAAAGGTGGGAGAGATGGGAATTGGAAAAGCTGAGAGACGGGAAGGGTGGGAAATGGGAAAGGTGGGAGATTGGAAAAGCTGGGAATGGTGGGAGATGGAGAAGCTGGGAGCTGGGAAAGCTGGGAGATTGGAAAAGTGGGAGCTGGGAGAGCTGGGAAATCTGGGAATTGGAGAAGCTGGGAGCTGGAAAAGCTGGGAGATTGGAAAAGCTGGGAACTGGGAAAGCAGGGAGCTGGGAAAGGTGGAAGCTGGAAAATCTGGGAGCTGGGAAAGGTAAGAGCTGGGAAAGCTGGGAGATGGAAAAGCTGGGAGCTGGGAGAGCTGGGAAATCTGGGAATTGGAGAAGCTGGGAGCTGGGAAAGGTGGGAGATTGGGAAAGCTGGAGTTGGAAAAGCTGGGAACTGGGAAAGCTTGGAGATGGAAAAGCAGGGAGATGGGAAAGGTGAGAGCTGGGAAATCTGGGAGCTGGGAAAGCTGGGATCTGGGAAATCTGGGAGATGGAGAAGCAGCCGTGGACGTGCCTGGGGACAGCCACGGCCACCCCTGGAGCTCCAGGGCTGCTGTGGATCCCAGCGGGAAGGGAAGGGAAGGGAAGGGAAGGGAAGGGAAGGGAAGGGAAGGGAAGGGAAGGGAAGGGAAGGGAAGGGAAGGGAAGGGAAGGGAAGGGAAGGGAAGGGAAGGGAAGGGAAGGGAAGGGAAGGGAAGGGAAGGGAAGGGAAGGGAAGGGAAGGGAAGGGAAGGGAAGGGAAGGAAAGGAAAGGAAAGGAAAGGAAAGGAAAGGAAAGGAAAGGAAAGGAAAGGAAAGGAAAGGAAAGGAAAGGAAAGGAAAGGAAAGGAAAGGAAAGGAAAGGAAAGGAAAGGAAAGGAAAGGAAAGGAAAGGAAAGGGGCACCACGGGGACAGTGGGTATTTATAACCACGGCCCTCCCGCAGCGCTGCAGGAGAGGCTGGCATTGGAGAGACCGGGATTCCTCGGGATGGAAGCTGGGAAAAGGCCTCCAGGGGGGCCTGGCAGGGTGGGGGTGTCACTGTCACCCCCCAGCCCTGCTGCAGGTTACACACCACACCCACGTCCTGCTGCTCTGGGTCCAAGAGAGGAGTGGGATGAAATTCTTCATCCCCTCTGGCAAACGTGGAAAAGGTGAAGCACCCATGGGGCGGCTGCTGCCCCCAGCCCCCACCCCAGCCCCATAAATCCCCTTAAATCCAAGGAAACGCCTCCCCACAAGCACAGGGAACACTTTGGTGTCCCCAGCCCCACGGCCAGAGCCACACCGGGGCTGCAGGGGAATGGCCCAGGGGGACGAGCTGCCGGTGCCTTTTGGGGTTCCTCACGGCTTTGGGATGGGACGTGGGAATGTCTCAGGGCTGTTGTGAGCAGGGATGGATTTGGGGCCCTGCGAGGGATGGAGTGGTTGAGGTGGTTTTGGCACAGCCAGGAGGGGATGGGGTGGGGTGGGATGGGATCCATGGGATGGGATGGGATGGGATCAGTGGGATGGGATGGGATCAGTGGAATGGGATGGGATCCATGGGATGGGATCCATGGGATGGGATGGGATCAATGGGGTGGGATCCATGGGATGGGATGGAATGGGATCAGTGGGATGGGGTGGGATCAGTGGGATGGGATCCATGGGATGGGGTGGGATGGGATGGGATGGGATGGGATCAGTGGGATGGGATCCATGAGGTGGAGTGGGATCAATGGGATGGGATGGGATGGGATGGGATGGGATGGGATGGGATGGGATGGGATGGGATGGGATGGGATGGGATGGGATGGGATGGGATGGGATGGGATGGGATGGGATGGGATGGGATGGGATGGGATGGGATCCATGGGATGGGATGGGATCCACGGGGTGGGGTGGGCTGTGATGGCACAGCAGCAAAGGCCCGTTGGCATTCCAGGACAAAGTGAAGGTGGGAAGAGAAGTGCGGATTCACCACGGGCATTCCCCGGGCTGGACGCTGCTGGGACAGCGGGAAGGGCTCCGAGCCGGGATTTCCTCCCCAGCCGGGATTTCCTCCCCAGCCGGGATTTCCTCCCCAGCCGGGAACACCAGCCTGGAGCTGGGACTGGGAACAAACACCTTGTGCCGCTAATCCCACAGAACCCCCTGGAACTGTGTGCCAGCAGGGAACTCCCAGCCCCGCTCCGCCCTCAGGGCCAGCCCGGCAGCGCCCAAGGGCTTCTGATCACCCAAAAGTCAATCAGGAAGATTCTGCCTGTTTTAATTAACAGCAATTTCGCTCTGCCGGGGGTGAGGCCGGAGACAAAACATGACCTTGTTGGTGCAGCACACACAGCGGGACTTTGTTTTCCCCTCTGGATGGCCTTGGATGCGGCGGTGGCACCGCTGGGTGATGGGCACAGGGTCCTGCCAGCCCTGGTGGCTCTGGGGCAGCTCCGGGGGCAGCCTGGAACACTCCAGAGTTCGGGATGTGGCACTTGGGAGCTGAGTTTTGGGAGGGTTGAGGGCTCCGGGATGGAACAAAAGGGATTTTGGGAGCCCCCGGTGACATCCGGGGGTGGCTGGGTGCTGAATCCCCGCTGGCACTGCTGGGTCCTGGCAGGAATCCCGGCAGGAATCCCGGCAGGAATCCTGGCAGGGACCCTACAGGCCCCAGGCCAGTGCAAACAATCCCTCAGCTCAGCCCCGTTTCCCTTTCCCCATTCCGGGAAATCTGAGAGGAGGAAAATCCCAGAGGAGGAAAAACTCCCCGTGCGGGTGCCAGGGTGCTCAGTGGGGTGGGGGTGACACTGGGCACAGCCCGGCCCCACAGCGGGACCCGGCCCCACAGCAGATCCTGACCCCACAGCAGGACCTGGCCCCATAGCAGATCCTGACCCCACAGCAGTTCCTGGCCCCACAGCAGATCCTGGCCCCACAGCAGGACACCCCAGGGATGATGGGGCTGGGATGAGCAGGTCCCTGGAACGAGCAAAACCCCGGGATGAGGCACCCTGGGGTGACAGGACCCCGGGGTAACAGGACCCCGGGGTGACAGGAGCGAGGCCACCTGCACCAGGACAGTCCAGGGGGGGACAGGAAGGGGTCAAGTGGCACCATGGGACCCTCCCAAGGGTGTCAGGGCTGGGGGCACAGGCACTGCGGGGTGTCGGTGATGGGGGCAGAGGCACCCGGGGGTTCTGGGCTTTGGGGGGAGCAGCGCCCTAAAGGTGTCAGGGATGGGTGAGCAGCACCCCGGGGTGATGGGGTTGGAGGAGAGACACCCCAAAACTGTCAGGGATGGGTGAGCAGCGCCCCGGCGGGGACGGAGCTGCCGTGAGACCCCACCCAGGACGGGGGTGACCCCATCCAGGACAGGGGTGACCCCATCCCACCCCATCCCACCCCACCTGCCCCGACCTTCGGGGCCGCACAGGCGGGGAGGGGGCTCGGCCGCCACCAGAACCCCCCCGGTACCGGCGGGGCGGCGGCTCCGTGGCGCTCCCCCCGCCCCCGGGGCGGGCTCGGTACCGTCCCGCCCCCGCCCCTCGCCTTATCAGCGGCGGGCGGGGGGCTCGCCCCACTCCCGCCCAGCGCAGCCGCCGCGGCGGGGCCGCCACCTCCCCGAGCGCCGCACCATGGGCAGCCAGGGCTCCAAGGCGGCGGGCGGCGACCCCGACACCGCCAAAGCCAACGGGCAGGTGCGTACCGGGGAGCACCGGGGGTACCGGGGGGCACCGTGCGCCCCGGCGGGACGGGAGGCAGCGCGGACAAAGGCGCGGAGGGGAAGGCGCGGTGATGATGGAGCCGAGGGGAATCTTCCACCCCGGGGGGACTCTCCAGCCCGGTGGGCACCGGGGGATGCGGCACCGCCCCGGCGCCGCGCCCCGGGCTCCCCCCGGCAGCACCGGGCGGGTCCCGTCCGCCGCCGCGCCCGGTACCGGGAGTGGAGCGCGGGCGCCGCCCGCTGGTAACGCGCTGGGCCCCCCCACACCGAGCGGATCCCCCCGTGAGACCCCAACCCGGGCTCGTTGCACCCCTTTTTTTTTGGATCGGCACCTCTCGGTGCGCTCCTGTTCCCCCGTTCTGTGTCCGGTGCTCCCCGTTTCCACCGGCTGCGAACCCCCCTTTTCTCTCCATCCCCTTTCCCCCCGTTTTCCCGGTGGGGAGCGCTCGGTGCCCCCCGTTTCCCCGGTGGGGAGCGCTCGGTGCCCCCCCGTTTCCCCGGTGGGGAGCGCTCGGTGCCCCCCCGTTTCCCCGGTGGGGAGCGCTCGGTGCCCCCCGTTTCCCCGGTGGGGAGCGCTCGGTGCCCCCCCGTTTTCCCGGTGTGGGGAGCGCTCGGTGCCCCCCCCGTTTTCCCCGTGGGGAGCGCTCGGTGCCCCCCCGTTTCCCCGGTGGGGAGCGCTCGGTGCCCCCCGTTTTCCCGGCCGGGAGCGCTCGGTGGGGCGCGGGGATTTGGGGCGGGGGTCCCGGCCGTGCCTAACGCGCTGCCCCCGCAGGAGAACGGCCATGTCATCTCCAACGGGGACATGACACCCAAGGTGGGGGTCGAGGTGACCCCCCAGAACGGGAACGGCTCGGCGGAACCCCCCAAGGAGGAGAGCGAGGGCGAAGCGGGCGGGGCGGACACCATCGAACCCGCCCCGGGTGCCGCCGGTACCGGTACCGAGCCCCAACCCGAAGGAACCCCTAAAGACACCACCAAGAAGAAGAAGAAGTTCTCTTTCAAAAAACCCTTCAAGCTGAGCGGGATCTCCTTCCGCAAGAACAAAAAGGACGGCGGCGACTCCTCCGGTGGCTCCTCGCCCACCGAGGAGGAGGAGGAGCGGGGCAGCACCGAGGAACCCCCGGCGGAGGGGCTGCAACCCTCGGCTCCCCCCGAGGAGACACCGGGCGAGCCCGGGGAGGGCGGAGAAGCCGCGGGGAACCGGGAGGAGGAGGAGGAGGAACGGCAACAAGGAGGGGAGAAGCACGGAGACACCACCGAGGAACCGGCAGCGAGCGCGGTGGAGCAGAAGGAGGAGGAGGAGTAGGGACCGCTCGGGCATCGCCCTCCCCGGGGACTCCCCCGCCGCTCCCGGAGCATCCCCGGTTCGTCACGGACTCACCCGCACCGCCCCCGCCACCCCCGGGACTGACACACATCCCCCGCCGGTTTCTTTATCTCTTCTCTCTCTTTTCCCCCCCGTTCCCGGTAGAAAAAACAACAAAAAAAGCAAAAAAAAAAGAAAAAAAACTGGTTTGGATTCCCACCGCCGCCACTTGGAGTAGTTTGAGGTGAATTATTTGGAAATATGAAAAAAAATTAAAAAAAAAAACAAGCAACACAACAACAAAGCAACTGGGGAGGAAGATTTAGCCCGGACGCCGCTGGAGTTTGCAGTTTGGAAAAACCCAAAATCCCGCTCTGGATTCTCCAGCCCGGCCCTTCTCCTCCCGGTCCCACTGACTGTTCCATGGAATTTTGGATTTTTTTTTTTTTTTTCCATTTTGTGTTTTTTTTCTCCTTTATTTCTCAATTTACATTCCTGGTTCTTGACTTTTCGTTTCAAGTATTTCGTGCTTTTTCTATAGAAATGGATGGTTTAAAAAGCTAATCTGGTTAGGTTTTTTTTTTTTAATAATGTCTTCTACTGGCTTAAAACCATAAAGCTTGTAAGTCCGCTGTGTTTAATTCTGCTTTAAGGGATAATTTTGGGGTGTGGGGTGGAGAGAGGGGGCCCTGCCAGCTGTATAATGTCAAGCCAACGTTGATTTTTTTCTTTTTGTTTTATTTTGTTTTTTTCTTTTTCATTTTCTCTGTAAATAATTTTTTTAATGGCCAAAAAAAAAAAAAAAAACAACAAAAAAACCGCTTGATTTGCAATTTTCTAACTTGTAAAAAAAAAAAAAAAGAAAAAAAATCAACAACAAACCCACCAAACAAAAGCTGTAACATTTGAAAGGAATAAATGGTGACTCCTTTATGGGAGAGCTGAGTCCTTCTTGTCCCGAGTGAAGATGGAGTTGCTAATTTAGCCCAACAGCTGCTGCCTTTAATCAGCGCTCGCCGTTAATTGACTGGCGGCAGATGCAGAGCCCGGCCACAAAGGACTTTCCCATCCCCATCGCTGCTCAGCTGCCTGCTTTCCTCCCAATCCCTCTTTTATTTTTATTTATTTCTGGGAAAAACTTGGGGATTCTACTCAGGATGAGGCGAAAATCCCGCTTTGAATCTTTTTTTTTGGTTTTTTTTTTTTTTAATTTAAATGGGTTTTTAGTAAAGTTTTTTTTTTAATTTTTAAAAATTTTTTAGCTTTTTTTTCTTTTTTTAAAGAGGGATTAGCTCCTCCGGGCTGAAAGGAGCACAAAAGGCGAGGGTTGGGAGCAAAGATTGCCCGAACAAAGGGAAAAAAAGGAGGCGACAATGGAGCCTCTGTCCCTGCTCCTGTCACCTGCATCGCGGTGCCTTTTCCATGGAAACTCCTCCATTTCGTGGCCTTGCTCCCAATTTTCCCAGCCCAGTTGTTTTGGCCGGAGAAAAACCATTAAAAAAACCGAAAAAAAATTAAAATTAAAATAAAATAAACCCCCAAACCATTGTTCGCCCAACGGGTGCCACCCTGGCAAAAGCAAGGAGGGAATACCCTAAAAAATTCCATTTTTTTTGTGAGGAAACCAAAATCAAGGATCTGCTTCCCAAATCGTGTCTTTCAGCAGAGGGGTGAAATAAATGGGTTTTTAAACCCAATTTTGAAGGCAAAGTGGGGTTTGGGACATCCACGCTGTTCCTGAGCCTCGAGGTAGGTGGAAATATCCCAAAATTCCGTGTTTTAGGCGAGGAAATCAAAATCCGGGATCTGCTTCCCAAATGGATTCGTGTCTTTGAGCAGAGGGGGGAAATAAATGGGGTTTTTTAACCCAATTTTGAAGGCAAAGTGGCATTTGGGAGCCTCGAGGTAGGTGGGAATATCCCAAAATTCCGTGTTTTAGGTAAGGAAACCAAAATCAGGGATCTGCTGCCCAAAGGGATTCATTTATTTGAGCAGAGGGTGAAATAAATGGGTTTTTTTCCCTGTTTTGAAGGGGGTTTGGGAGCATCCACGCTCTTCCTGAGCCTCGAGGTAGGTGGGAATATCCCAAAATTCCGTGTTTTAGGTAAGGAAACCAAAATCAGGGATCTGCTTCCTAAAGGGATTCATTTATTTGAGCAGAGGGGTGGAATAAATTGATTTTTCCCCCCATTTTTGAAGGGGATTTGCGGAGCTGCATCCTGGCAGCCATTTTAGGAATCCTGGCAAAGGGAAGGGCTGGAAGGGGGAATTCAATGGGAATCCCATTTAAATTCCAGGGTTTTGTTCCAAAAAAAAAGGATTTAATGGTGGGAGGGAGGCTGGAGCTTCCTGGGGTGTTCAGCACCCAAAGTCTGCTGAGCACACAGAAAAAAAATGCTTTTTTTTTCACTAAAAAAGAGCAGATTTGGGGTTTTGTGGCCATTTCAGGTGTGATCAGCACTCGGCTGCTCCTGATTAAAAAATGGAATTTTTATCCTCTTGGATTCTGGATAAAACCAGAATTCAGCCCAAAAGGTGGATGAAGTCCATCCCTTCCCATCACTTTTTTTGGTTTATTCCCAAATTTTATTCCCAAATTGCTCCACTCCAACCACAAAGGCAAGTCAGGGATGAGGAGCCAGCTGGAATTTGGGAATAAAACCACCCAGGTGAGGCTGTCAGCCAAAAAAAAAAAAAAATTCCTCAAAATCCCTCACATTTTGGGTTCCTTTTTCCAGGGAAAAATCTCAAGGCTGTTTTGTAAAAAAAAACCACCCAAAACCCAATTAATTTACAAAAAAATAACAATTTTTTGTTATTTTACAAGAGATTTTTGTTATTTTACAAGAGATTCAAGCAGTTGTTGAGGTGTGGGATAAATAAATAAATGAAATATTTTAGTGGATGGAATTAAACCAACATTCCTCAAAGAAGGAGGGAATTAATACCTTATTTTTCTTCCCAAATCCTAATTCCACCTCTAATTTTATTTTTTTGTTGGGATCTCCATGAGATCCAAGAACAGCTCTGAAAATGAATTAATTAAGCAAAAAAACAGGCCAGGCTCACACCAACCATAGAAATGGAGCAGTTTTATTACAAAGGTTCTGAAAATTCAAAATAAACGCATCTTTAAAAAACCACAATAGATTTTCCCCTCCCTCCCCCGTTCCCCAGACACAAAGTTACACTGATCTCTCTCTTGCTTCACATAAAAACACTGAAAATCTGAGTGAAAACCTCACTCAGACCCCCAAAGAGACTAAAAAAACTCCACGGTGAGGTGGGAAAAAATAAAAATAAAAAAAAAAAAGGTGAGAGGGGAGAAAAAAAACCGAGTTAAAAAAATAAACCCTTTGCAAAAGAACCTGTGTGAAGTTTTAGCAGCATTATTGGAGTTGAAACCCTCAGCAGTGCTCCCGTGGGAGGTGCAGAACCTCTGGAATTCCAGAGGGATCCCCCTGAGAAAGGAGAGCAGCAACTGCCTGAAAAATAAAAAGACAATTAAAAAAAAAATCCGAATTTCCCCCCCTGCCAAAAGTTGTTTTTTTTTTTTCCCCTCAGCTGTACAAAAGGAGAGGTGAGAGGTCACAAAGGAGATTTGAGGGTGTGGGAGGAGCGGTGAAAACGCTCAGAGCCCCATCTGCTGTTCCCTCAGAAGGATAAAAAATTTGGGATTTATTGGCCCTGGGAGGGAAATCCAGTTGGAAAACTTGGCTTAAAAATCAGGGAAAAAATCGGTTTTTTAGGGACACGGGTGAGGAAAAGCTGCCAGCCAGGCTCTGGGCTGGCTTTGAGGGGATTTCAGAGGAAAACGAAGCCAAAAGAGGAGGAATTTTCTCCCCACCCAGAGAGGGGCATTAAAAAACAGGTAAAAAATCCCTTCCTGCCTCACTCCCTGGATCCAGGAGATCTCAGAAAAATGAACCACCCCCTAAGGGTGATTTTAATTTTACATCTTCCAGATCTGAGCTCTGTGGCTGATTCACTTTAAAAATAATAATAATTTAAAAAAAAAGACTTTTCAGGTTTCTTTTCAGCTGCTTCATCTCTTTCCCCAAGTTTGCTGCAGGGAGGAGCCAACTCTCTTCAAGAACTGCACGATTTTGACCCTGAGAAGTGGCAGCAGCTGGCAGGATTTTGTTGGTTTTTTTGGGGTTTTTTTGTTTGTTTGTTTGTTTTTTTTGTCGTGGTGGAATCCAGCTAAAAACCACAAAAGTCTCTCCCAGGTTTGGGAATTCTCCCACTAAAAACAACACCAAAAAAAAAAAAAAATTGAGGAAAAGCAAGAATTGATGGCCATCTTTCCACCTAACCTGAAATGCAGACACTACTTCTACTTAAATTATTTCTTTTCCAGGGTTACTTCAGAGGAGAGAGGGAAGGGGAGGAAGTGATTTTTGTGATTTTTGTGTTTTTAGAGCCACACCAAGGAGGGGCAGTGGAAGGCAAAGGGTGAAAACTCCCTGGTCACCAAAGCTGGGCTGCTCCCAGTGGAGTGCAGCAAGGAATAATTTACAGTTCTCCAGTCATTTATACAATTATATAGAAATATATACAGAAAACATATATAAAATAGAAATCCTGTGGGGAGGAGGCAGCCCAGGAGCTCAACCTATGACAAGCTGCAGCCACCTCAGGTGGATTTTGTCTCTTCCTTCACCCTGGGGAAGCAAAAAAGAAAAGGATTTGGTTTAAATCAACAATTTGGGTTTGGAGCTAACAACAAGGCTTAAAACTGTTGCTTATCTGGCTCATTTTCAGCTAAAATTTAATATAATTTAATTTGTTAATATACTGCTGAAGGAAAGAGCAGTAGTTTGAGTTTTCATCCCTCTCAGCACCTACAAACTTCTTCCAATGAGGAATCTGTGACAAAGCCACCCAAAGTGCCACCCAAATTGTCACATCAGCCCCTCAATGCTCCCAAACCCCCTGGGCATGGGCAGGAGCCAGGCTCAGCCTCCCAAACCCCCCATTTTCAGCTAAAATTTAATAAAATTTAAGTTTTTAATATATTGCTGAAGGAAAGAGCAGTGTTTTGATTTTTCAGCCCTGCTAATTCTTCCAATTTCCTTCCAAATTCTTCCTGTGACAAACCTACCCAAAGTGCCACCCAAATTGTCACATCAGCCCCTCAATGCTCCCAAACCCCCTGGGCGTGGGCAGGAGCCAGGCTCACCCTTTGGGTTCTGCTGCTGCTGCTGCTGCTGCTGCTGCTGGTGGTGCTGGTGCTTTTTCCTCTTTTGCTTTTTCCTCTTCCTTCTCATCTGGGAAAAAAAAAAATAAATAAAATAAAATTAAAGACCCAGAGCAGTGCAGGAGGAAAAATTCCAGGCAGAATTGCAGGAGGTGCCAGCTCTGCTGCTCACCTTTCTTCTCCTCTTCCTCCTTCTCCTCCTCTGCCTTCACACGTTTGGCTTTTTTGAAGTTGGCGACGTTCTTGCGCCCTCCCTCCCCCTCGTCCTCGGAGTCAGAGAATTCCTCGTCACAGGATATTCTCTTGTTGGAATTTCGGACTGCAAGGGGAGAGGACAGAGCTTGGCCGAGCAGATTTTCAACATCAGGAGGTTCCCAGCATGTGGAGCTCACAGAAATCAGGATTAGGCCACCATAAAAGTGTTTTTGCTGCATCTCTGAACTCGTCCCTTCCCACCTGCTCCAAAACCATGTGGACAATTTGGATTAGGCACAGTCTAGACCTGACAGCAGGTTTAGAACCAGTCTGCCAGTGCCAAATCTGTCTGCCACATCCCAAGGGCCAAGCTGGATAGAAAACTCCATTTCTCACTGCTGGGATCACACCCAGGATTCTGCCAAGGATTCTGGCCCAGCACTCAGCAACTGCTGGAATTCTCCCTTGAAAATCAAAGTTGTTCCCATTATGGTGGCAGGAGAGATCTTGCAGTGCTCTGTCTTACAAAAATCCAGCAGGGAGGTGGGAATGGATTCAAATCTGTGGGGTCTGTGGGGGTCTGTAGGAGCTGTGGGACTTGTGGGAGCTGTGGGGTCTGTAGGGATTTGTGGGGTCTGTGGGAGCTGTAGGATCTGTGGGGTATGGAGGAGCTATAGGATCTGTGGGAGCTGTGGGGTCTGGAGGAGCTATAGGGTCTGTGGGATCTGTGGGTCTGTAGGGATTTGTGGTGTCTGTGGGGTCTGTAGGGATTTGTGGGATCTGTGGGGTCTGTGGGATCTGTGGGACCTGTGGGATCTGCAGGGGTTTGTGGGGTCTGTGAGACCTGTGGGAGCTGTGGTGTCTATGGTGTCTGTGGGGTCAGCACCCAGCAGGAGCAGAGTGTGTTCCTATATGGGTTAAAAGAGAGATTAAAACCAGAGTTTAAACCCTGGGACAGAGCCTGAGGTGAAGCTCCAGCCACTCCCCGGGGTTTTTGGGGGTTCCACAAAGCTCCAGCCCGAGGGTTTGGCTCTGGCTGTCCCCACAAACCAAGGGGGCTAAATCCTGGAGTCAGAATTGCATTTAAACCCTACATCCTCCTCGTGAAGAGCTCAAGGATGCTGCTCAGCTTTGGGCTTTTCCCAGCACAATTCAATTCCCAGCACCTACTGGAAATGCGTTTTTCAGGATCATCCTCCTCCTCATCCCCGCTGTCTTCCTGCACAGCGTCCTCAGGAATTGGCTGCATCTGGACCCCAGGAGCGTGAGGGAGCATCCTCAGGTTTTCGAAGAGCCGCTGCCTGCAGCCAGCCAGGGAAGGACACTTTGTCACCAGGGGCCACCCAAGGCCACCAGCCCCTGTGGAAGGCTCGTTCCCCCGGCACTCACTTGATTTTCTCCAGGTATTCGTTGGTGTTCTGGTTGGTCATGTTGGAGGGGCTGATGTGCAGCTTGAAGTCTGGCCCAAAGTACTCAAAGTAGTCGTTGTATGGAAGTTCTGGAGGGGAATTAACGGTAATTAACACCAAATTATCAGCAGGAACAGCTACAGCACTCAGGAATGCAGAAGGGATGATGCAGAGGTAACAAAGGCAGCAGCAGCATCTCCCTGAGCTCCTGGGGGTACCAGTGCTGCCCAGCCCTGCTGCAGGGCTCCAGGGATGTTGGAACTCAAAATGTCCCTCAGACATTTTTGGATGTTCCGGGCCCAGGTCAGAAGCATTTGAGACCCTGGCAGGCAGCTGGAAACAGCTGTGATTTTGGGTTTGAGCCATGGAACGATTTACCAACCTTGCAGGAAGAACAAGAAGTCACAAAAGTTTAGATGTTATAGTAGAAGTAGTCACAAAGTAGAGGGAAGAATTTTTGAGTGCTGTACAGGGGGGTTTTGGTTTTGTACATGGGGGTCAGAGGTTTTAAGATGGAGGGATTTGGGCCTGCCCTGTCCTCTCTCTTTCTTCTTCCTCACCTCCATGTTCTTGGTGATGTTGGCACTCACAGGTTGGTTTAGAGTAGAAAAGCACCATTTAATATAGGTAATGGGCATTGGGGAAAAACTATAAACATTTAACACGTAATGTTACCCCCTGGGGTGGGGAGAGAAGAAGCAGTCGGGAGTCAGAGAGGATGTCAGGGTGTGTGTGTGCCTCTGCCTGAGCTGTGAGCAAACCACAGCAGCCCGAGAGGAAAATCTTTTAGATAACTTGCAATAAACTGCCTTGAGACCGGACAACAGAGACTGCTGAGCCTTTCTTTGGAGGCACGGCTTGGAGGAGAAGTTTTTCCACCACACGGAGCCACCCCTGACCTAGGGTGGGCTCTGGCACAGGGGGAGTTACCATTGGGAATCTCAGTGTCCAGAGCCACAGCGGTCTCGTAGGTCCAGCAGCGAGCCACGTTGCGGATCGTGTACCCCCCTCCTCCCAGCATCAGCATGGGCAGGTTAAAGCTCTTCACAAACTCCACACACTTGGCGTGGCCTGCAGCACAAAGAAACAAGGGCACACTTGTGGGAATCCAGGGCTCCCCTCTGGCTGCCCTGGCAGGGGTCAGGAACCCCCCTGGACAGAGCCCCCAGAGACACTGGCTGTGATCTCTGTCCATGGAAAAGAGTTTTCAACCTCACAGGATGAATTACCAGCTCTGAGGGTTTGATATAAGTAATAATTAAGTGTGGCACAGGTGCAAAAGTAAAATTTTAGGATTCTAGATTAGGGGTTCAAATGGGACAAGATGGAGGAAATTGGGTGTGTCTTGTCCTTTTTCTCCTTCTTCATGCCCTCCATGTTTCACTGTGCTGTTGGCATTTTTCTGTTGGTTCAGGCTGGGGACACACTGTCCAACGTAGGTGACAGATATTGGCACGTTATTGTAAATCCAGCACAGGTAGTTTGTGGTATTTAATGTTTGTACCATCCCACTGAGGGCAGAGCCCCACACGCTGCCCTGCAGGACAGAGCTGCGGCAGGGCAGCAGAACATGTTAGAGATAAACAGAATAAACAACCTTGAAACAGCACAGACCAATTATGGCTTCTTCTTTGGCAGCGGGGCAGACAGACAGAGACTTTCTACAATCTGGGAATCATCAATAGCACAGATTCCGACACACACTCATGGCATAAATGCCAATTTTCCCAGGGAATGCCCTGCTGTGCCCGTGGCAGGGCAGCTCCTACCTTTGATGGTGAGGTTGAAGCAGCCCAGCCTGTCCCCAGACAGGGAATCGGAGCCGCACTGCAGGACAACGGCGCTGGGCTGGAACGTCTCCATCACCTTGGAGATCACCTGAACAACAAAGCCCTGTCACCCCCTGCCCACAGGCCACTGTCACAGCAGCACAGTGACAGTGACACCACCCCTGGTGCCCTGACACCGAGGAGCTCCCACACAGACCCCGATCGCTGGGGGACTGGGGGATCACTCCGTGTCTCACAAACAGGGTGGGACCCTGGCTGGATGCACACTTAGGATTTATTGTCTGTATCACACAAGCAAAAAGCAAGAGACACAGAGAAACAGCAACATCCATGCAAATCCACATCAGAGAGGGGCTGGCAGCTTATGCAAAGCCTTTTTCTGCATATTCTCTGAACCAACAGCATAAAAGGTGCAAAGTCATTATACTCTAACCAATAAAAGGAGCCACGTGGGTTTAACAAAAGGACTTCTGTGAACCTCAAACAATACACAATAATTCATTATATGAGATTGAAACCTTTTATATCTTTGCAAAGCATATCTCTAGGACTTTTCACATCCCAAACTATCAAAAAGTTCTTGTTCTTTCTTGTTCCTGATGATAAATATAAATGTATTCACTTGGTTCTTACTTTCCTAGCTTCCCATGAGAAGGTTTTGAAATCATTTGGTTCTTACTTTCCTAGCTTCCCATGAGAAGGTTTTGAAATCATTTGGTTCTTACTTTCCTAGCTTCCCATGAGAAGGTTTTGAAATTTCCCAGCCTTTCTCAGCTTTATGTTTACTTTCTGGGGACTTTTTGCACTTTCTAAAGTCTTTTACCTTTTTATATTCCTACACAGAGCCCTTGGTGAGTCTTGTCACAGAAAAAACCCACAAAAACTCAATAAAATCCCCCAAAGAATGGCCCTGAGGACAAAGTGGGAGGCACAGAGGATCCCTGAGCAGAGGAGGCTTCACTTACAGGTTTGAAAATGGCTTCGTAGGACTCGTCATCGATGCCGTCCCGCAGCGGGTAATTGACAGCGTAATACTTCCCTTTGCCTGCCCCGATGTCCTGTGGGGTGAGAGAGGAACCAGAGCTCACCAGAAACCCAAATTATGCCCCAAAATGGGAAAAGAACCTCAGAACACAGTCTAATCCAGATATTAAGCCAGAGTAATTAATATTGTTAAATATTAACGATTTACTGCAGAGACGCACAGCAGCGGTCTGGGCTGGTCAGAGCAGTTGTTGAATCTGTTCATTTTACTTTAAAATAAAAATAAAATATTCTACACTAAAAGATTATCTGTTTTAATGTTTCTTTTTATCAATCTCACACCCAAAGTGGTTTATTAAAAATTGTTATTTCATTTCTGGTGCAGCACCAAGCTCTTGGCACGGTTGAAAAAATACAAATCCTGAGTGAAAGATGAGAGGATTTAGATTAAAAAATACCACAGCTCCTGTAAAAATCCTATAAAAATAAATAAAAGACCATTCACCTCTGAGAAGTTCTGTCACAAGTCACAGGTGACACTCTGAGTCACAGCAGGAAATTGCCAATAAAAATCCACTCCCTGAGAAACCTTCACCCAGGAGTTTTTGTCACCAAGCTGGGGCTGCGAGGTGACCAAAATGTCACTTTCAGAGTCATTCTGGTGAGCACCAGAGAGACTGAGAGCAAAGATTCGGGTTGAATAAATGCCCACCCACCCCTCTGCCCTCTGTCACACAGGGACAGCCAGGACAGCTGGAGAAAAGCCCAAATTTCCTGGGGATTTGGTGGCTCTCACCCTCAGGTCCCCAGTTCCTGGGAAATATTCTCCGTATTTGTGGAAGGACACGGTCATGACCCTGTCTGTGGTGTAAAAAGCCTCCTCCACCCCGTCCCCGTGGTGGATGTCAATGTCAATGTACAGCACCCGCTGGTGGTACCTGGAAAAAAATCAGAATATTGCATTTATTCCAAGGAAAAAGTGCCTCTGAGCAGAGGAAACTGGGAGGTGAGCACGGAATTCAGGCCAGGATTGGCAGGGGAAGGAGCTGCAGGGAAGGGACAGCAGCAGAACAGAAAATAAAAGTGACTTTTGCTGCTGAGTTTGTTTCACATTCAGTTTGGGCAGATTCAGCCACTAAAAGTGCATTTTTAGGCACATTTTTCTGCACATTTTTCTGCCCAAGCCTCCCACAGTGAGGTTTGCCTGGAGCCAGAAGCTGTCATGGAGCCATGGGTGGGACAAAGAACAGCAGGAAAACAAATGTAACTCCCAAAAAGCCCCAAAAATCCTCAGCCTCCTGCTGGGGCAAACCTTGCACTGGGGGCATTCCAAATTGCATGTCTCAATTTGAGGGTGAGCCCTGATCCCATGGGACACTGCTGGAGGAGAAAGAAATCCCAGAGGAGCTGGGATTTATTTCTAATACCCAAAATCAGAATTAGAATAGAATAGAATAGAATATTTACTTATCATACTATAAACATATTTATTATAATAGTATAAATATTGTAATTGTTTCTAATAAACAATAAAGTATTTAATAATATGTTATATAATTATCTATATTAGAAATATTTAAATTATAGATATATCATGTATTGTTATATAAGTATATAAAATTACATAAAATATTTTACATATACTATTATTATATAACAGTATATATAGTATATTTGATATATATTATTGTATTATATATATACTCTAATATATATTGTAATTATATAATTATATAATAAAATATTATGATAGTAGAATGTAGTAATAGTAGTGTAATATATATTATATAATAATATAATAAAATATAATATTATAATACTAATATAGAATGATATATTATATATATACACTAATATATTATAATAAAATAATATATGTAGTAAATATTATATTATATTTATCATATTACATTATATTACATTACATTACTATATTATATTATAATATAGCATACATTGTCTATTCTATTCTATTCTATTCTATTCTATTCTATTCTATTCTATTCTATTCTATTCTATTCTATTCTTTGTTCTTACATTCTATTCTTGGTTCTTACTTTCCTAGCTTCCCATGAGAAGGTTTTGAAATCATTTGGTTCTTACTTTCCTATTCTATTCTATTCTATTCTATTCTATTCTATTCTATTCTATTCTATTCTATTCTATTCTATTCTATTCTATTCTATTCTATTCTATTCTATTCTATTCTATTCTATTCTATTCTATTCTATTCTATTCTATTCTATTCTATTCTATTCCCACAAATCCCTTTTGGATTTTTTTTTCCCGAATCTCCCAAAATCCCTTCTGGGACAGAGGGGAGCAGAGCCCAAAAGAGCAGACAAAAGCAGGAATAATGAGGAATGCCGAGGAGCACCCCCATACTTGAGCAGCTCCAGGATGGCCAGGACGATGTCGTTGACGTAGCAGAAGCCGGACGCTTCGGATTTCTTGGCGTGGTGGAGGCCCCCAGCCCAGTTCACTGCGATGTCCGTCTGCTGCTTGTTCAGCTTCACCGCGCTGGCTGCGGGGAGACAGAGGCACAGGGAGGGGAGAGATCACAGGGAGAGACAGAGGGCACAGGGAGGAGAGATCACAGGGAGAGACAGAGGGCACAGGGAGGGAGAGACACAGACCCCCGGGCTGTGTGGGGCTGCACAAAGCTCTTGCTCTGAGTTCTTAAAGAATTATGGATATCGATCCAGTACCCACCCAACTGTGATGGACAGAAATTCTGTAACGGTTTAAAGTTAGAAACTGCGTGTTTACAAAGCTCCTGCTCTGAATTCTTCAAGAAATACGGATATTGATCAAGTACCAACACCCAACTGTGATAGACAAAAATTCTGTAACAGTTTAAAGTTAAAAAGTGTCTGTTTACAAAGCTCCTGCTCTGAATTATTAAAGAAAGATGGATGTTGATCCAGTACCAACACCCAACCATGACAGACAAAACTTCTCTAACAGTTTAAAGTTAGAAACCACGTGTTTACAAAGCTCCTGCTCTGAATTATTAAAAAAATATGGATATTGATCTAGGACCGATACCCAACTGTGATGGACAAAAACTCTCTAACAGTTTAAAGTTAGAAAATGTGTGTTTACAAAGCTACAATTTCTAAATTATTAAAGAAATACGGATGTTGATCTAGTAGCAACACCCAAGTGTGATGGACAAAAATTCTGTAACAGTTTGAAGTTAGGAAGTTTATGTTTATTGTGTGTGGGATAGTTCCCAAATATACACCATGCCTTTCAGGTGATTAGAGAGCATTCACCCTTTTATCCATCCAAGTACTGAATACCCAAAATACAAATACATATTCATCATTTTGGTACATCCCCTTCCTCATTTCATAGGCTAATAATTTCAAAAACTATTCAGTATGTGTAGTTTGTTCCTTGAAATGGGTCGGTGGGAATTATTAAAGAAATATGAATATTGATCTAGGACTGATACCCAGCTGTGATAGACAAAAACTCTCCAACAGTTTAAAGTCAGAAAGTGTGTGTTTATTGCATGTGGGATGGCTCCCAAATCCACACCGCACCTCTCAGGTGATCACAGAGCCCTTTTATCCATACAAGTATTGAATACCCAAAATACAAATATTCATCATTTTGGTACATCCCCTTCCTCACTTCCTATGCTAATCATTTCAAAAAGTTATTAAGCATGCATAATTTGTTCCTTGAAATGGGTCTGTGGTCCCGTCCATGGGGAGGGGTCCCAAAATGAGGAAGTAAATGAAGTCTTCCTCCTTCTGACCTTTCTACCTTTTCAGTGCCAATATGACAAATGAACTCTTGGTAGAACTCCCATTCCTTGTCTTCAATTGGTTTCTGAACAGAGGAGGCCACAATTGTCTTATGTTCTAAAAGCTCTTTGTCAGTTTGTGTATTCTTCATTATAAACCCAGCTAACTAAACATTGTGCTGACAGGCAATCAGTTATTAGTTAACTACTAACTCTTAACTTCATCAAGACCTACTAATTTATTTTAATTAACTCTAGTAAGGCTTCTCTCTAACTAAAATCTTAGCTCTTCTAAAATCTCTAAATTCCTTAAAGTTTATGTTTCAGCTCAAGGGTTTGACTCTGGGTGTCCCCACAAAGCAAGGGAAAATTGGAAATATTTCTCATCATGAAATATTTCTCTCATTAGGTATTTCTCATCGCTCCCACTTCTGCTTCAGAGCAGGAAAATCCCCACAAACCCAGCAGCCAGCTGGGGCCACACTGGAGAAAATCAGGATTTCTCAGAGGCCTGAAGAGATCAAGGTTTTAGCTGAGATAAATTCAGGTCATTGAGTGGAAGTTCTCCTCCCCCAGCCCCTTCCATCAACTTTGTGCACATTCTGCAATCTGTCAGGATCCAAAAAAAACCCAGGAATTCTGTGGAATTCTCCAGCCTGGGAGCAGAGAGAGCACGGAGCTGCTTCAGAACCTGCTGCAGTGAGTGCTGGGGAGCTGCTGGCACAGGAAATACAGGCTGGAGGTGTCATTGTGGCAGCACAGCCACAAAGCTCTCAGGCCGTGCACACAAACAGCTTTGCTGTCAGTTGTGAGAAAATAAAAAAACTTTTCAATGTTCCAGCTCTCAAACCTTTCAGTTTCGGCTTTGCCTCATGTCCAGGGTTGTGGTTTTTTTAAAAACAGCAGCTAAATCACCCTGGTCTTTCCTTTCCAGGTTGTGCCTGCTCAGAGTGAGACTTTTACAACTTTTATTTCAATGTAAAGCTCAAGTTAGTTGGTTTTTTTGTTGTTTTTTTTTTTTTAATTTAACCGTGCTGTTGTGGTTTTGTTTTAACTCCTTTTTAACTTTTTGGTTTTGCTTTAACTCACTGGTGATGCTACAGAGCCATTCACACCTGCAGTGATGTAACCCAAATTAGTGATTAACAAATGGAAAGGGATTCAACAGGCAAAGCTTGGAGAAATCTGGATTTCGTTGTTAAATCAACAACAGGTTCACAGAGACAGAATATAAAACACAATAAAAAACACACAGGATCTGTGATCTTACCAACAGAGCCTCCAGCAGAGAGCTGACAGAACTCAAAGAGCCCATCAAACACAGGGCAGTCCTCCCCAACATTAACTGGAAGAGAATGGAAAAGAGTCATTAAAATAAAAACAGAAATAAAACCCAAATTTTACACCAACATTTGGATTTGAAAAGTGGCCAAAAGTGTTAAACAAAATGCTGTGATCACATGATGCAATGGAAATGTGTGGCTGACACTTTGCACTCGCCTCAACTTCAAATCACAGTTTTGGCTTCTCAGCACAACTGGGGTTTCAGCTTCACTAAATTTTTACTGTAATTAATTCCACTATTAGAAATAGTTATTCATTACAAGAAATTAAACCTCAGGCCCTTTGATTTACTCTGCCCAAGTCTGGCATGCAAAAATGGAATTAGAGACTGTTCATTCCCTTTCCAGCAGGTTTTGTTGAAGAAAAGCTCAGTCCTTGGCATGTTTAATTTTCACATTTTGGCTTTTTCAGGAATAAAAATAGTGCGGAAAACACTGAGCACCAGAGAGAGCAGAGTGTTCATGAGCTGTGGCTGCTCCAGGGGTAAACAGATCAGTTTGGGTAAAAATTACATTTTGCTGGATGTCATTTGGTGGATTAAAGAATATCAGGGACTTGGGGGAGGCTTTCAGTGTGTATTAATCATGAACCTTGTGCAGAACTATCTGTCCCCTTCAGCTCCCAGGGGGTTTCCAAGAGTGAAATGTTGTTTAAATGAAGCTTGAGCTCTCCCCACTGGTTGTCTGGGCTTGTTAGAAATCTATTTTGCCAAAAAAAAAGCCATCAACTCAGAGTGCCTGAGACACCAAATCCGTGTTTTTGTACCATTAAAGAGCCTCTCTGTGGATTGGAGAGGTTGGAACAAGACATCAGCTCACAATTAATCTACAAAATCATCAGGTATTGATGATTCTGCCCCATTTCCAAGCTGCCACTGTCCTGAAAATCCTTCAGATTTGGGGCAGAATTGAGAGGTTGGGGCTTTTTAATTTGCTGGTTTTAAATGCCCCAACTCTTCTGGTTGAAGATGAGCACTAACACAAAATCCACAGAAACGGAAAAATTCTGTCATCTCCAAGCCAGGAAAGGAATTTAGGCAACGAGAAAAACCCAAAATACAACCAGGTCAAAGGATTTCCCTCAGCTCCTTTAGCCTGAGAGAGGAACCTGTTTTAAAAGTGTTTTATTCACCAGAAAAATCTAAAAAAGCCAAATCAGGAGAACAAGAACTGAGAGAAGTTTATCCCAAAGTTCTGGAGCTGGGCTGGGATTGCCAGATTTTCAGCTGCAGCATCACTCACATCTCTGCATCTGCTTGCTGTACTCAGACATGTTGTCAGGGCGGATGGACCTCAGGAATTTGATGTAATCATCGCTGTGGTACTTGGTCATCTCCTCTGCATTGGCCTTGTGAGGACGCTGCAAGGACAGCAACACAGCAAGGATGGCTCTGGGATTCATTCCCCCCCTCATTCCCATCTCCAGCCCCAGATTTACCCCCAGGAGCTGTGAAAAGTATCAAAGCAGCAGTGTTAAATAAGAAAAACTGAATTTGGAGGGCAAGAACGGCACTGTTGGCGAGTGTTACGTATGCAGACATGGAAATAAATTGAATTTCAAAGATAAAAACCAGTTTTCCAGTCTCCAAAACCTCTCTGAAGCACAGAACCCCTCACTTCACCCCTGAGAAGAAACCATAAATAAATCAGTACAACTGACTGGGGTTTATTTCTTTCCTGTCAGAGAAAAAGCTCCAATTAAAGCCTGAAACAACAATGGTGACATGCAATAATGAGCAGCAGAACTTACATAGATCTCCATCTTCCTGTAGAGCCCATAGTTGAGCAGGAGGTTGTGGGTCATGCGGATCCTGTGGGGTTTCATGGGATGTCCTTGGCCATAATAATAATTCCCAACATCCCCTGGAAGCAGAAAGGAGTGCAGAGGGAATCATCAGCTCCTCTGGGATTTATTTCTCCTCCTCTCCCACCTTCCTGGCACAGGGATATCCATGGATTCAGGGTTGGGAATTTGGAATTCCACCAGCGCAAGGTGTGCCTGTCTTTGGGAAGGGGCTGGAATTGGATCTTTGGTGCTGGAGCAGCTTCCAACCCCAACTACTCAATGGCTGTGACAGTACAGAGGGAGAATCTCCAAAATTTTGGGTCAGAAGAGCTCAGGGCTGAGTGGCAGGGATGTGCCCCAGGTTCCAGGGGGTGCAGGGAGCAGGAGCCCTGGAGTTAATCCCAGCTCAGACAGTGACTCAGCCCAGGAACACCCGGCCTGTGCCTCACTTTCCTCCTGTTTACCCACAGGAAAAGGGATCCAGGGAACTCTGGACTCTGCAAACACCACCCAGCTCTGTTTTTACAGCTCCACACTTGGTTTCACCCCTTTTTATCCCTTCAAATCCTCCAGAGGATTCCCAGGCCTTTCCAGCCACCCCCCAGGAATTATTTTATGGGACCAGGGGAACAAAGTCACCTTCCCACGTGGATTTTCTCCTCCAAACTGATCTCACACCTCACTGATAAATGGGGTTTTTATTCCACCTCCTTTCCCAGGGGCACTCATTTCCCTGAAATTCACAGGAATTTCCCTTTCAGATTTCTGCCTGATTTGGCTGCAGGGAGCAGGAATCTCTCCCAGGCTTCATTTTCCTGGGAAACCAGCCCAAGCTGTTCCTGGGCTGGAACAACTCCTGCTCCTTTAGGGAAGCAGGGGATCCAAGCCGGTCTGGCTGGTGACTCAGAAGGGAGAATTCATATTTCATCACCACTCTCCACCTTCAGCAGAAGCAGTTTTTTTTCCTCCTGTGGACATGGATCTATTTTCAGGAAGGAAAAGGAGATGCCAAAAGTGCAAATCCCACATCCAGGCAAGTCTGCTGCTGGAATTGACCTGTCTGTGGAGCTCTGGGGGGATGTTCTTTCAGTAAATAGATTTTTTTTTCAGTTAAAATCACTTCTTTTCACTGAAAATAATCATATTTTCTGACATTTTGGCAAACCATGCTGGTGTAACCATCCTGCCAGTTTTAGGGATGGATTTTACTACCTCTAAATCAAGATTTGGGGAACTTGTAAGAGATGTTTGAGGCTGTACATAGAAAATAGAAGCACAGAACTCAGAGAAGCTTTTAAAAAATCCCTATCAGCTGTCCAGGGAATGCCCTGGGCCAACCCTGAGCTCCTGTTCCCTGTGCTGAGCACATCCCAAGCCCTGTGGATCCCTGGATGAGCTCAGCTGCTCCTGGACGTCAGAGCAGATTAAGGAGTGTGAACTGAGCAGGCTCTGCTGGGGTTAAACAAATCCCTCCATCAGGAGGCTCTGAATGGAGAAATTCCCCCCAAATCTTTCCTCAGCCACTCAGGATTGCAGGGAAGGACCCCAATTCCTTCATCCCATGAAATTCAGGGAATTTCCACAGCAGGTTGGGCTGCTCCAACCTCCCAGCGTGGAAAAGAAAAGGCTCCAATCCACAAATTATTTATTTCCTCTCAGTAAAAGCAGCTTTTTACCCCTCAGCTGTGGATGTTGAAAAGCTGCTCAGAAAAAGAACAGTAAAAAGGAAAAAAATAAAGAAAAAAAAGAAGGCACTAAAATCTCACCACAAACTATGGAACCCAAATTGGTGAAATTCTTGTGCAGCAAAGACCTGCAGGGCAGGAGCATTTCATATTTCAGATATAATTCAATGCCTTTAAAAATTATAACCCAGCAGGGCTGAAAAACTCCTATTTGAGGGGGAAAAAAAAAATCACATTTTTAGAGGAGGAAAAAAGCCCTCGGCATAGGATTTGGAAAAGCCTCCTTCCTTAGAGAGGGAAAAAGTAGCAAGAAGAAGTTTTTTATTTGATTTCAGGCCAAAAACCGTGTGGGAGCAGAGGATTGCACAAGGTCTGTGACACAAGGTGAGCACAGAGGCAGTGAAAAAGGAGCAGAGGAAGGCAGAGGGGCAGCACTGGGATTGCTCAGCCCCACAGGACAGCCAGGGAGGGATTTGGGATTTGTTCCTTCCCTGCTGCACAGGGATGCTGAGGCAGCCCCAAAAGGAGCCACCATCCACACAGCCACGCAGCCACCCTGGCTCCCAAAAGCTTTTTGTCCCCTGATGACCCCAAAAACGCTGTCCCAGGAGTGCCTCATCCTCCTCAGAGCCCAAAATCCTCCTCCAGCATCTCAGCACTCAAAGCCTCTCCTGGCCTCCAGCCCCTCTCACCAACCCCAGACCCTTCCCAGCCTTTCCCATCTCCCAAATCCTCAGATCTCCACATTTCCCCATCCCCCTGTTCTTCCCCCAAATCCTCAGATCTCCACATTTCCCCATCCCATCCCAAACCCCTGATCTTCCCTCAAATCCCCACATTTCCCCATCCCCCTGATCTTCCCCCAAATCCCCCAATCTCCCCATCCCATCCCATCCCTCTGATCTTCCCCCAAATCCCCAAATTTCCCCATCCCAACCCCCTGATCTTGCCCCAGATCCCCAAATTTCCCCAACCCCCTGATCTTCCCCCAAATCCCCCCATCCCAACCCCCCGATCTTCCCCCAAACCCCCAAATTTCCCCATCCTATCCCCCCGATCGTCCCCCAGATTTCCCCATCCCACCCCCCGATCTCCCCCACGCTTCCCATTCTCCTCTCCAGCGCTCCCCATACCCCTACCATGCCCTCCACACGCTCCCTACGCCTCTCAACCCCATTAAAAACCCCACACAACCCTTGATCCCCATGCCCTGACCGCCCCTGCCCATCAATCCCCCAATACCCATCCCAAAACCTCTAAACCCCCTCACCTCTATGACCTCAATGATCCCCCATTACCAACCTCTCATCCCACCCCCAGCACCCCCATCCTCCCTCAGTGACCCCATTACCCTCACCCCCCTCTCCATTACCCCCTCAGTGACCCCTCACCCCCTCATTCTCCCCTCACCCCTCACCCCCGCCTCCTCCGTCCGCGATGCCCCCTCAGCCCCCCACTCCTCCCCGCCCCGGGACGGCTCCCCCGCGGCCCGGCAGCCCTGAAGGGGTGCCCGCAGCCCCTCACCATCGTAGTAGTAGCAGACTTTGCGCTTCGTGCCCTGCGTCAGCGCCATTTTCCTGCCTCCCCTCACAGCGCCCGACCCGCCGCCGCGCCGCGCAACCAACCCCGCCCGCCCCGGGCCCGCGGGCCCGCCTCCCGCGCCGTGCCGTCCAATCGCAGCTCTCCGTTCCTCCCCCTCCCGCCTGCTGACCAATGGCAAGGCGCAGCGGCACCTAGCAAGTTAGGCTGAGCGCCGGGGGTGCTTGGGCTGTACCACTGCGGCGGGGGATGGGGGGGGGGGTGGCTGTACCATCGAGGGTCCAGGTGGGCGGGGAGGAACCATTCCATTGGTGGTGGGGGGGGGCAGGTGGGGCTGAACCATCCCAGGGGAGGGGGGAGCCAAGGCAGGTTAGGCGAGTGAAGGGCCAGGGGGGGCTACCAGGGCTGAGGGGGGGTCCCGGGGGTCGCAGGGGCTCCCTGAGGTGGGTTGGTGCCATTGGGGTCCGTGTGCTGTGGGCATCACCCCGCGTTGCGCACCCCACAGCAGCCTGGTGCCCGCTGCTGAAAATGCCTTTATTTCCCCAAAATCGCTGTAAAATTCTCCTGCACACGCCGTGAGGGAAGAGGGAGCTCCAATAAATTCAATTTATTTCCATGGGGTGCAGTGGCCAGGGGTTCTTGCCATCCCAAGCAGGTGAAGGGGGCACAGAGCGGGGCAGGTGAGCCCTGAGGGGCTGGAGCTTGGATTTTCCCCTGGGAAATGCAGAGATGGCAGGGTGGGCACCCTGAGGGCACCTATGCCACGCCACAGCATTCAGGGGTTTGCTTTGGCCGTGCAGTCCCTCCTGAAGGACTCAAATTTGCTGCCCCCAAGCTTTGGAGCGCTTCAAATCCTCACAGACCTCATCCTGGACCCCTCAGACGTCCATGGGGCCTATTGGGCACCCCACAGCAGAGCCCTCAGGGACTGGCCCTCCATGGCACTGAAGAAATCCTCGAGCACGCTCTTCATGGAGTCAAAAGTGGGTGAAGGGGGTACAGAATGGGGAAGGTGAGCCCTGAGGGGCTGGAGCTTGGATTTTCCCCTGGGAAGTGCAGGGATGGCAGGGTGGGCACCCTGAGGGCACCTGTGCCTTCAGGGATCTGCTTTGGCCATGCAGTCCCTCCTGAAGGACTCAAATCTGCTTCCCCCAAGCTTTGGAGCACTTCAAATAATCCTCACAGAGTTCCCCACCCTCATCCTGGACCCCTCAGACGTCCATGGGGTCTGTGGGGCACCCCACAGCAGAGCCCTCAGGGACTGGCCCTCTATGGCACTGAAGAAATCCTCGAGCACGCTCTTCATGGAGTCAAAAGTGGGTGAAGGGGGTACAGAATGGGGAAGGTGAGCCCTGAGGGGCTGGAGCTTGGATTTTCCCCCTGGGAAATGCAGGGATGGCAGGGTGGGCACCCTGAGAGCACCTGCGCCTTCAGGGATCTGCTTTGGCCGTGCAGCCCCTCCTGAAGGACTCAAATCTGCTGCCCCCAAGCTTTGGAGCACCTCAAATCCTCACCGAGTTCCCCACCCCAGCCGGGGTGACATCCATGGGGTCTGTGGGGCACCCCCAGCACCCCACAGCTGCACCTCAGGGCTGCTGCTGGTACTGGCCCTCGGTGGCGGTGAAGAAATCCTCGAGCACGCTCTTCATGAAGTCGAAGGTGGGGCGTTCCTCGGGGCTCTCCTTCCAGCACTGCCTCATCAGCTCGTACAGCTCCCCCGGGCAGTTGTCCGGCTGCGGCATGCGGTAGCCACGCTCCAGGTTCTGGATCACCTCGGGGTTGGTCATCCCTGCCAGGACCCGATTCGGGTCATCCCCATGGTGTGGGTGGCACCCTGGGGTTGGACATCCCTGCCAGGACCCAGTTTGGGTCACTGGAACCACCCCAGGGTTGGTCACCCCTGCCAGGATGATGCCCAGGACTCAGTTTGGGTCATCCCGACATTTTAGGGGCCACCCCAGGCTTGATCACCCTTGCCAGGACAATGCCCAGGACCAAGTTTGGGTCACCCCAGATTTTAGGGACCACCCCAGGCTTGGTCATTCCTGCCAGAACAATGCCCAGACCCCAATTTGGGTGGCAGGGACCACCCTAAGATTGGTCACCTTTGCCAGGACAATGCCCAGGACTCGAGCTAGATCACCCCCAGGTTTTAGGGACCAGTCTAGGGTTGGTCACTCTTTGCCAGGACAATGCCCAGGACCCATTTTGGGCCACAGGGACCACACCAGGTTCTTTCACCCTTGCCAGGACAATGCCCAGGACCCAGTTTGGGTCACCCCAGATTTTAGGGACCACCCCAGGCTTGGTCATTCCTGCCAGGACAATGCCGAGGACCCCAATTTGGGTGGCAGGGACCACCCCAGGCTCAGTCACCCTTGCCAGGACAATGCCCAGGACCCATTTTGGGCCACAGGGACCACCCCAGGCTCGGTCACCCTTGCCAGGACAATGCCCAGGACCCATTTTGGGTGGCAGTGACCACCCCAGGCTCGGTCATTTCTGCCAGAACAATACCCAGGACCCCAATATGGGTGGCAGGGACCACCCCAGGCTCGGTCACCCTGGCCAGGACAATGCCCAGGACCCATTTTGGGTCACCCCAGATTTTAGGGACCACCCCACCCACTCATTTCTGCCAGAACAATACCCAGACCCCAATTTGGGTGGCAGGGACCACCCCAGGCTCAGTCACCCTTGCCAGGACAATGCCCAGGACCCATTTTGGGCCACGGGGACCACCCCAGGCTTGGTCATTTCTGCCAGGACAATGCCCAGGACCCCAGTTTGGGTGGCAGGGACCACCCCAGGCTCGGTCACCCTTGCCAGGACAATGCCCAGGACCCATTTTGGGTGGCAGGTACCCCTCCCCACCTCCCAAACCCCGCATGGGGGCACCTCCCATGCCCTGCCACCCCCTTGTCCCCTCCGCAGGTGGCTTTGGCGAGCGTGCCCGGTGCCGCCAGGCGGGGCAGGGTGGCAGAGGCCGGGCAGGGTGGCACGGTGCCAGGCTGGCAGCAGCGTGCGTGCAGCGCTGCATGCACACACACACCGCGGGCGTGCCAGCCCCGCTGCTGCCCCAAAATCCCGACCTGGATAGGGGATGCGGCCGTAGGTGACGATCTCGGTGAGCAGGATGCCGAAGGACCACACGTCCGACTTGATGGTGAACGTCCCGTAGTTGATGGCCTCGGGTGCCGTCCACTTAATGGGGAATTTGGCCCCTGGAAAGCGGCGGGAGGGGTGGGGGATAAATAAAGCGCTGGAATCGGATTTAATCCCGTGTGACAGCTCTGTCGCTGTCACAGCCTGGGGACAGGCTGGCTCTGAGCCCCCCGAACCTACGGGATCACCCCAAAGCAAGAGCCCCGCTCCATCCGCAATGGGAGAGATGGAAAAGGCAAAAACCATCCTTGCACCCCTCTCCTGCAGCTCCCCGGGATCCAGGCTGGCTGCGGGTCCCTCTCCCGATGTCCCCAAGCCCGGTGACACCCGGGGCTGGGCGGGACTCACCCTCCCGAGCCGTGTACTCGTTGTCCTCGATGAGCCTGGCCAGCCCAAAATCGGCGATTTTGCAGCACAAAGTGTCCGAGACGAGGATGTTGGCAGCCCTCAGGTCCCTGTGGATGTAATTCTTGGCCTCGATGAAAGCCATGCCTTCAGCAATCTGGGGTTTGTAATTATTCATGAATTGCAGTATTAATTAACAGCTCCGGAGGTCTCCCCGTTTCTCTGCTCCCCCCTCACCTGTGCTGCCATGTCCAGGAGTTTGTTGATGCTGAGCTTGACTCCTTCCGAGGTCTTGAGGAAGTCCACCAGGCTGCCTGCGATGAAAGCAGCAGTTCTCAGCTCCTGGGGGCTCTGGGGGGGTCACAAGGGCCCTGTCCCCCCAAAAAAAGCTCTGGGAATGTGGCCAGGAGAACACAGAAAATTCTTTATGCCCCAGCTGGGTGTGGGAGAGAACAAAGGCAAAGCTTCCCCAGGGCTGGAGGCACAGGAACCTCTAAAATGAACAAATTTCCACATTGCCAGTCTGTCATTCTGACTGCTTTTGGAGCCTGCACTGGGAGGTGCTGCAATCACAGCCCTGGGGGACTTTAAGGAATGACCAGCACAGCGCTGTGTCCCTGCCAGGACAATGCCCAGGACCCAGTTTGGGTGGCAGGGACCACCCTAAGATTGGTCACCTTTGCCAGGACAATGCCCAGGACTCGAGCTAGATCACCCCCAGGTTTTAGGGACCCCAGTCTAGGGTTGGTCACTCTTTGCCAGGACAATGCCCAGGACCCAGTTTGGGCCACAGGGACCACCTCAGGTTCTTTCACCCTTGCCAGGACAATGCCCAGGACCCAGTTTGGGTCACACCAGGTTTTAGGGACCACCCCAGGCTTGGTCACCCCTGCCAGGACAATGCCCAGGACACAATTTGGGTGGCAGAGACCACCCCAGGGTTGGTCACCCCTGCCAGGACAATGCCCAGGACACAATTTGGGTGGCAGAGACCACACCAGGGTTGGTCACTCTTTGCCAGGACAATGTCCAGGACCCAGTTTGGGTCACACCAGGTTTTAGGGACCACCCCAGGATTGCTCATTCCTGCCAGGACAATGCCCAGGACACAATTTGGGTGGCAGAGACCACACCAGGGTTGGTCACTCTTTGCCAGGACAATGCCCAGGACCCAGTTTGGGTCACACCAGGTTTTAGGGACCACCCCAGGATTGGTCATTCCTGCCAGGACAATGCCCAGGACACAATTTGGGTGGCAGAGACCACACCAGGGTTGGTCATTCCTGCCAGGACAATGCCCAGGACACAATTTGGGTGGCAGAGACCACGCCAGGGTTGGTCATTCCTGCCAGGACAATGCCCAGGACACAATTTGGGTGGCAGAGACCACACCAGGGTTGGTCACTCTTTGCCAGGACAATGCCCAGGACATATTTTGGGCCACAGGAACCACGCCAGGCTCAGCCACCCTTGCCAGGACAATGCCCAGGACCCAGCGCTCTCTCTGTTGAGATGGGAATTTTTCACAGCTTGAACTTTATCCCAAAGATCTCTTCCAGCCCTAAAGCTCCAGAGCTCTGTGGCCACTTCCCTGTGGATGGGGCAGCAGCTGGAGCCCCCTGGGGTGGCCTCACCCTTCTCCATGAACTCGGTGATGATGTAGATGGGCTCCTTGGTGACCACGGCGTAGAGCCGCACCAGCCGCCGGTGCTGCAGCTTCTTCATCAGGTTGGCCTCGGCCAGGAAGGCGCTGGGGGACATGCTGCCAGCCTTCAGGCTCTTCACTGCCACCTTCGTGTGCCCGTTGTAGAATCCTTGGGGGAAAAAACGGGATCTGGACACTGGGCAGCGGTGCCAGCCGAGGAGGGCGGCTCCATGGGGCAGCCCAAGCTGGGGAGGAGATGTTGGAGGTTCCAAGAGCTGGTGGGAGTTGTAAGGGTTGGCTGGAGATGGAGTTTCATGGCCCCAAACGCCGTTGTGGTGCTGCTGGAGGGGTTTTGGGGTGATCCCAGCTGGCCTGGCAGCTGGCAGCGGGCACTGATGGTTCCCTGGGTGGTGTTTGGGGGCAGAGGAGGGTGTGGGGAGCTGGGTTTGGGGTGGGAGGTGGGGCTGGGGGAGCTGGGCAGTGCTGGGGGACTTTGTGGGATGGGCAGAACCGGTGGGAGTGGGAGATGAGACCCCCAGAGGGCTGTGGGGCAGGATGGAGGGGAGGGATGGAAGGAATCAGAGAGAAAGGATGGAGGGAAGGGATAAAGGGAAATAAGGAGGGATGGAGGGAATCAGAGAGGGATCAAGGGAAATAGGGAAGGATGGAGGGGAGCCCCGGTGGATTCCCCACCGCAGCACTCGGGGTTTTTTCTGCCTCCAAGCCCCCACAGTTGCTTCAGCACTCCAGCCACACTGGACACTCCCAAGTGGGGACAGAGCCAGCAGCTCTCCAGCTCCAGGATCCCACATGTCCCCTCTGTCCCCACCAGCAGAGCAGGGATGCGGGGATGGGGGAAAAGGGAAGTTTGGGCTGGGATCTCCCTTCTTCCAGGACCCCCAAAGCCACGGTGCCACACCTTGGGCTGTGCTGGCTGCTCCATGTGAGATCCCAGCTGGATCCTTCCCGGCTGGAGGATCCCGCTGCTCGCTCTGGTGTCCCACTGTCACCCTGACTCACCCATCCAGACCTCTCCGAACTGCCCCGCTCCCAGCTTCTCCACCAGCTTCAGCGACTCCCGCGGCACCTCCCACTCGTCCTGCCACCACGGCTTCTGCGGCTTCTGCGTCCGGCAGGGCTTGCCCAGGCGGCAGCAGAGCCCGTCGGAGCTGCCTGGCCCATGGAAGGCAGAGCTGGGCCAGTGTGGGGCACCCGGCACGAGCCAGGGCTGGGCTGGGGCGCTGGGAGCTGGGTCCTGCTCATCCCATCCCATCCCATCCCATCCCATCCCATCCCATCCCATCCCATCCCATCCCATCCCATCCCATCCCATCCCATCCCATCCCATCCCATCCCATCCCATCCCATCCCATCCCATCCCATCCCATCCCATCCCATCCCATCCCATCCCATCCCATCCCATCCCATCCCATCCCATCCCATCCCATCCCATCCCATCCCATCCCATCCCATCCCCATCCCGTTATGTCCCGTCCCACTCCTATCCCACCCTGCCACATTCCCATCCCATCCCGCCTGGTCCCGTCCCATCTGGTCCTGTCCCATTCCCATTCCCATTCCATCTTGTCCCATAACACCCTGCTCCATTCCATCCTCTCTGCTCCCATCCCATCCCGTTCCATCCCCTCTTATTCCCTCCTATTCGCATTTCAGTTCATCCCATCCCATTCCCATCCCGTTCCCATCCCATTCCCACCCCGTTCCCATCCCATTCCCGCCCTGCTCCCGCCCCATTCCCGCCCCATCCCCTTTCCCATCCCCGTTCCCATTCCCGCCCCATCCCCGTTCCCATTCCCGCCCCATCCCGCCCCATTCCCGCCCCATTCCCGCCCCATCCCGCCCTATCCCGCCCTATTCCCGACCCATCCCGCCCCATCCCGCCCCATTCCCGCCCCACCCCGCCCCATTCCCGCCCCACCCCACCCCATTCCCGCCCCATTCCCGCCCCACCCCGCCCCACCCCGCACTTGTGTAGTGCTGCACCAGCTCCCTGAGGCTGCCGAAGGGGGCTCGGGGGGAGATGTAGAAGCCGCCGCTGTCCAGGTTCCGGATCTTGTAGTGCTTCACCGTCTCTCCCTGGCTCTCGTCCAGGTCCCGCACGGACAGCGAGTACGAGCCTGGCGACAAGGGACACCCGTGGGACCCCCGAGCCCTCCCGAGCCGCCCAGACCCGAGGGAGCGCGGGTGGCACCTTTGGAGGTCTCGCTCTCGCGGATGAGGAAGGAGCCGTGCGTGTTTCCCGAGGCCAGGAGCTGCCGCTCGGCGTCCTTGCGGCTGATGTTCCTGAAGAACCACCTGGGGACACGGGGCGGGCTTGGGGCGGAGGGGACCCGGCCACTGGGGTTTTGTGGGATGATCCAGGCTCCTTCCCAGAGCTCAGATCCCGCTGGATACATCCATCCATCCCTGGATCTATCCATCTTCCATCCATCATCCATCCATCCCTGGATTCATCCATACATCATCCATCCATCATCCATCCATCCCTGGATCCATCCCTCCATCCATCCTTGGATCCATCCATGATCCATCCATCCATCCATTCATGGATCCATCCATCCATCCATCCCTCTGTCCATCCCTTCATTCATCCATCTCTCCATGGATCCCTCCGTCTCTGGATCCATCCCTGGATCCCTGGATCCATCCATCAATCTTCCATCTATACGTCTTCCATCCATCCCTGGATCCATCCATCCATCTGTCCATCTGTCTGTCCATCCATCCATCCCTGGATCCATCCGTCCATCTCTCCATGAGTCCCTTCATCCATCCATCCATCCTTGTATCCATCCATCTGCCCATCAACCCATCTCTCCATGGATCCCTCCATGGATCCCTCCATCCCTCCATCCCTGGATCCATCCATCATCCATCCATCTGTCTGTCCATCCATCCATCTCTGGATCCATCCATCCCTGGATCCATCCATCCATCTCTCAGTCCATCTCTCCATGAATCCCTTCATCCATCCATCCATCCTTGTATCCATCCATCTCTCCATCCATCTGCCCATCCATCCATCTCTCCATGGATCCTTCCATGGATCCCTCCATGGATCCCTCCATGGATCCCTCCATCCATCCATCCCTGGATCCATCCATCATCCATCCATCCATCCATCCATCCATCTGTCCATCCATCCATCTCTCCATGGATCCCTCCATGGATCCCTCCATCCCTCTGTCCATCCATCCCTGGATCCATCCATCATCCATCCATCTATCCATCCATCTGTCCATCTGTCTGTCCATCCATCCATCTCTCCATGGATCCCTCCATGCCTTTGTCTGTCCGTCCATCCCTGGATCCTGCTCCATCCCTCCCCCTGCCCTGTCCCTACTCACGGCTCGGGCTCCAGGCTGTTCACCAAGGCCACGAAGTTGTGTGGGATCAGCCCCTCCTGGCCCGTGGTGAGGGACTGCGCCTTCCACCACTCCCCGTTCCTGCAAGGACAGCGCCGTGAGACCCCCCAGACCCGCCCCGACCCCCGGGAGCGCCGGGACGCCGCCGGAATTCCTCACTCTTCCAGCACGCGGAGCTTCTCCCCCTTCTGCAGCCCCAGGTCCCCGTCGTGCTTGGGCTCGTAGTTGTACAGGGCCACCACCAGCTTGTCTGTGGGGACAAGAGGAGGGACAGGGTGGCAGGGAGCGGTTTGGGGGGTCACAGCCGCCCCCCTGCCACAGCCACGCCTCACCTTGCATGGGGGAGCACGGAGGTGACGAGGACTCGTAGGACACCAGAGGGTCTCGGACCTCGGAGCCGTTGCGGATCGGCCTCTGCCAGGGGACGGGAACCCCGTGAGGCCCCGGCTCGTGGGATTTGGCCACTTCTGGGGTGTTTTGGGGGCATTTTGGGGGCTGTCCCCCCTGCTCACCTGGCGCTTGCTGTCGGGCTCGATGGGGTAATTGCAGTGCTCACAAATGTCGATGTTCTCGATCCAGTCCTCGTCGTAGTCCGAGCTGCAGCAGCAGCCCATGGTGGCTGTGGGGGACAGAGGTGACACAGGGAGCCTTGGAACACCCATGGCGGCCTCTCCTCCTGCTGCAGCACATCTCCATCCGTCATCCATCCATCCATGATTCCATCCATCATCCATGATTCCATCCATCATCCTGATTCCACCCATCCATCATCTATCCATCCATGATTCCATCCATCATCCATAATTTCATCCATCATCCATCCATCATCCATCCATCCATGATTCCATCCATCATCCATCATCCATCCATCGACCATCCATCATCCATGATTCCATCCATCCATCATCTATCCATCCGTGATTCCATCCATCAATGATTCCAACCATCCTTCCATCCATCATGCATGATTCCATCCATGATTCCGTCCATCCATCCATTCATCATCCATCACTCCATCCATGATTCTCTCCATGATTCTGTCCATCCATCCATCCAACCATCATCCATCCATGATTCCATCCATCCATCTATGATTCCATCCATCCATGATCTATCCATGATTCCATCCATCATCCATCCATGATTCCAACCATCTTTCCATCCATCCTTCCATCCATGATTCCATTGATCCATCCATTCATCATCCATAATTCCATCCATGATTCCATCCATCCATCATCCATCCATCCCTTCACCCATCCTTCCATGATTCCATCCATCCATGATGTCTCCATGATTCCATCCACCATCCATCATTCCATCCATCCATGATCCATCCATGATTCCATCCATCTTTCATCCATCCATCCAACCATCATCCATTCCATGATTCCATCAATCCATCATCCATCATTCCATCCATCCATGATTCCATCCCTCCATCCATCCCTCACCACCTGGCCCATCCCATCTCCTCAGCTGAACTGGGACATTCCCTGACTCTGTCACCAGTTCCTCCTAATTTATCCTGCCCCCGTTAATTAAAACCACCGCAGGCAATTAGCGCTGATCCCTCACACAACCTCATCATTAACATCCCATTAGCAATTAACACTCCCGCAGCTCTCCTTTAACGAGGTGAGCCCCTCCTCCATCCCAAAATCACCTCCTGCTGCTCGTGGGCGCTTCCAAACTCCTTTTCCTACAAATTCCCACAAATTCCCACAAATTCCCACAAATTCCCACGAATAATTCCCACAAATTCCCACGAATAATTCCCACTCCCCGTTCCTGCAGCGTGGGGGACGTTCCTAAACCCCCAAACCCTACAACCCCCTTGAGGCTCGGCCAGGGTGACACCATGGTGCCACCAGGGCTTGGGCACGTTCACCACGAGCCCCGTGGGCACCTCGTTCAGGGACAGATGGGTTTTTTTGGGATTGTTTTTCCCTCCTTTTCCTGACTGGGAGTTTGGGTTTTCGGCAGCGTGCCCAAAAATCCCCCTTTCCCCACGGTGCCAAGGGGGACACAGCAGTGGGGGGTTTGGAGGGGGGGTTTGGGGTCCCTAAGGAGGGTTTGGGATCCCCAGGGAGGGTTTATGGTCCCTAAAGAGTGTTTTTGGGTCCCTAAGGAGCATTTAGGGTCCCCAGGGAGGGTTTATGGTCCCTAAAGAGGGTTTTGAGGTCCTGAGGGAGGGTTTGAGGTCCCTGAGGAGGATTTGGGGTCTCCAGGGAGAGTTTAGGATCCCTAAGGAGGGTTTGGGATTCCCAGGAAGGATTTGAGGTCCCCAGGGGAGCTTTAGGATCCCTAAGGAGGGTTTGGGATTCCCAGGGAGGGTTTGGGATCCCCAGGGAGGGTTTTGGGGTCCCTAAGGAGGATTTGGGATCCCCAGGGAGGATTTGGGATCCCCAGGGAGGGTTTGGGATCCCCAAGGAGGGTTTGGGATCCCCAGGGAGAGTTTTGGGGTTCCTAAGGAGGATTTGGGGTCTCCAGGGAGAGTTTAGGATCCCTAAGGAGGGTTTGGGATCCCCAGGGAGGGTTTGGGATTCCCAGGGAGGGTTTGGGATCCCCAGGGAGTGTTTAGAATCCCCAAGGAGGGTTTGGGATCCTCAGGGAGGATTTGAGGTCCCCAGGGAAGCTTTGGGATTCCCAGGGAGGGTTTTGGGATCCCCTGGGAGGGTTTTGGGATCCCTAAGGAGGTTGTTCAAACACAAATTTCCTTCTGCTGACTCTTCCCTCATCATTCCCAGCACCTCCATCTCAGCTGGGCAGCCAGAAGAGTAAAAAATCCAAAATTCATCAACATTTTCAGGGCCTTTTTGATCTTTTACGGACAAGAACATCAGCAAAGTGCCCACATTTCTTGGCCAGACCAAAGGCACGGCTGAAAAACCCCAAATCCATCCCCCTGACCCCATGGAGGAGCCCCCAGAGCTTTTTGAACACCTCCAGCACTGCTGGGAGCTGTTTTTTCCTCCTGGGGTGAAGGAGGGAGGTGCTGCTATTGTGCTTTTTTTTTCTTACAGCCCCAAGCCACAGCGTAATTTCCACCACCACCACCAGCAGCCGTTTCACCTGCGCCAGGGCCAGGCCGAGGAGGGAAAAAAAAAAGAAAAAAGAAAAAAAAAGGTGTTTGAAGTAGTTTTTTTTTTTTTAGTGGCTGCATCTGTGCAACCGAATTTCTTTGTGCCAAAGGGGCCTGGCAGGGAGGTGCCCCCTGTGGGGTCTCCTTGCCAGGTGTGTGCCATTCTTGTTGTGTTTTTATTTATTTTTATTTATTTTTTTCTCTGGATTTGGGGTTCCCTGTGAGCCCTCCGGACCATCCCCCAGCGCTGGCACAGCCTGGCAGTGCCACCCTGCACCGTGTCCCCAAGGTGCCACGGCAGCAGGGAGGGTCAGCACTGAGGCAGCAGCAAAAAAAAAAGGGAATTTCTGAGCGCCCGAACCCCCAAATTGGGCAGCAGAGCTGAGGGGAACACGAGCTGCTGCCTGTCCCTTGGACACAGCCCTGGGGACAAAACTGCTGTGCCTTGGGGACAAAACTGCTGTGCCTTGGGGACAGAATTTCTGTGCCCTGGGGACAAAAATTGCTGTGCCCTGGGGACAAAATTTCTGCTGTGCCCTGGGGACAAAAATTGCTGTGCCCTGGGGACAAAATTTCTGCTGTGCCCTGGGGACAAAAAAACTGCTGTGCCCTGGGGACAAATCTGCTGTGCCCTGGGGACAGAATTTCTGTGCCCTGGGGACAAAAACTGCTGCTGTGCCCTGGGGACAAAACTGCTGTGCCCTGGGGACAAAACTGCTGTGCCCTGGGGACCAAACTCCTGCTGTGCCCTGGGGACAAAAACTGCTGTGCCCTGGGGACAGAATTGCTGTGCCCTGGGGACAAAACTCCTGCTGTGCCCTGGGGACAAAAAAACTGCTGTTCCCTGGGGACAAAACTGCTGCTGTGCCCTGGGGACAGAATTGCTGCTGTGCCCTGGGGACAGAATTTCTGCTGTGCCCTGGGGACAGAATTGCTGTGCCCTGGGGACAAAACTGCTGCTGTGCCCTGGAAATGGATCTTTGGGGAGAGCCCTGCGAGTGCCACCATCACTGCCACCGCCAGCAGGACCCCCCGGCGGGCAGGGGACATGGGGACATGGGGACATGGGGACATGGGGACAGCGCCTTCCCCCCCCCGGGAGCCCCCAAGGGATGGAGAGCCCAACCTGGCTCCCCCCATCCCTCTCCTCCCCCCAACAACGAGCCCGAACCCCCATTTCCACCCCTCCGAGGGGCTCTCGGAGAGCGCAGCTCACCCCCTCCCCACCCACGGGTGCCCCCCAAATCCCAGCGGGGCTCGGAGCCCTTCCCCGGCTCTCACCTGGTGGCAGCGAGGGGAGCAGTGGCCGCTGTCACAGTGCCATGGCCCGCGGGGACCGCGCCCGTCACGTCCTCCCCATCCCGGGGAGCCGGAGAGGAGCGCCCCGAGACTTGTGGGATGCGGAGAGGAGCGCCCCGAGACTTGTGGGGTGCGGAGAGGAGCGCCCCAAGTCCTATGGGGTGCGGAGAGGAGATCCTCGAGTCTTATGGGGTGCGGAGAGGAGCCCCTCGAGTCTTATGGGGTGCGGAGAGGAGCGCCCCAAGTCTTATGGGGTGCGGAGAGAAGACCCCCAAGTCTTATGGGGTACGGAGAGGAGCCCCCCAAGCTTTGTAGGGTGCAAAGAGGAGCCCCCCAATCCTTGTGGGATGCAGAGAGGAGCCCCCCAATCCTTGTGGGATTAAGAAAGGAGCCCCCCAAGTCTTATGGGGTGCGGAGAAGAGCCCCCCGAGCCGGGGGGGGGATGCAGAGAGGAACCCCCCGGCCCTTATAGGGTGCAGAAAGGAGCCCCCGGGCCGGGTGGGACCTTTCGGGGTGCAGAAAGGAGCCCCCGGGCCGGGTGGGACCTTTCGGGGTGCAGAGAGGAGCCCCCCGGGCCGGGTGGGACCTTTCGGGGTGCAGAGAGGAGCCCCCCGGGCCGGGTGGGACCTTTCGGGGTGCAGAGAGGAGCCCCCCGGGCCCGGCTGCGCCGCCGCTCTCCCCGCCTCGCTCCGGTTTCCTGCCTCATGAGCAAACTCAAGAGGAGCCCGTTCTCAGCTCCCCCGACCGCAAGAGCGAGTGACAAGCCCCGATGGCTTCCTGCCACCCCCGGCCCCGCGGGTGCCCCTGCGAGGGTGGGCGAGGGGCTGCCGAGAGCCTCGGGGGGGTGGCACCCACCGCCAGCACCCCCCTGTGCCCTGCGCTGTCCCCTGGGCCACCCTGGCAGTGCCAGCTACACCCCGGGGTCCCCTCTTGGTGCTGTCACCTCCTCCTTGTGCCCCACGGTCCAGCTGCTGGGACACAGCTGTCACCTCCGTGCCACCTCCGTGCCACCTCCGTGCCACCCTGGGCAGCCCGAGGGCCGCGGGGACAGGGGAGGTGGCTGAGGGGACCCGCGGTGGCCCCGGCGGGGTGGCAGCGCTGTTTTGGGGACAGCGCGACCACAGCAGCATTGTGTTGGCTTCTTTGATGCAGCGACAGCCGCAGGCGGCTCCGGGACGCGGGCAGGAAGCGCAGAGGTGACAGCGCGGGCTGTGGCAGCTTGGGGGGCACATTGGGGCTCTCCTGGTGGTCTGGAGAGGAAAAACAGCCCCCCAAAATCCCAAAATTCTCCCCACGGCTTCCCTGGCACCGCTTTGTGCAGGGTTCTGTGAAAGTCGCATCCCCACATGGCACCTCTGGGGGAATCCAGGAATTCCCTCTGGCTGCCCTGGGACCCTGGCAGGGGTCAGAACCCCCCTGGACAGAGCCCCCAGAGACACTGGCTGTGATCTCTGTCCATGGAAAAGAGTTTTCAATCTTACAGGGTGAATTACCAGCTCTGAGTGTTTGATATAAGTAATAATTAAGTGTGGCACGGGTGCAAAAGTAAAATTTTAGGATTCTAGATTAGTGGGCTGTGCCCACTCAACACCTCCCCACGCTGAGCACGACCACCCACTCCCACCCCACCCCACCGCCCCAGCTGCACCCGCTTCCCGGTTATTTATCCCCCCCAAGTGCGATGGGCAGGAATTTCCTTATCTAGAGGAATATTTTTGGCTTGTTGCGTTTGGTTTTGGTTTTTTTTTTTTCCTTTTCTTTTTTAACATATTGTCTCCGCCTGGGAGGAAACTCCCCGTTCCCGGACGGCGCCTTCACCGGGGCACGGAGGATGGGGAATGATTGATCCCCGGGCTCAGCCGCCCCTCCCCGCTTCTTTGGGGGCCCAAAAAACCCCGAGGAAGGAAAAAGAAACGGGAGGTGCCCACGGGGGGCAGCCGGGGTCCCGCACCCGGACGGGACCTTAAGGTGGAGCCGCGTCCGGATCTGTCCTGTGCCACCTCCCCCGTGCCCGCGGGGCTCCAGGGGCAGCGGAGGTGGCTCGGGGGTGTCCCCTGCATCCCCCGTGCCCCTCCTGCCCCGTGCGTGCCCACCCCTGTCCCCTCCAGACCCCCCAGAATAGCCCCAAACCCCCCCGTGCTCCCCCCGAGTCCCGCTGTCCCCTCGCGTGTCCCTTCCCACGGCCCCCCCGTGTCCCCTCGCTGTCGCACCGCACGCAGGGACCCCCCAAACCCCATCCCCGAGCATCGCCGCGTCCCCCCCGGGCCGGGCCACCTTAAACCCGACATCCGCCGGCCGGGCCGGGCCGGGCCGGGCTGTGCGGGGACATCGCCACCAGCGCCACTTCCACCCCGAGGTGCCCAACTCCCCCTCCTGCACCCCCAAATCCCCTTCCTCGCTCCCCACATCCCCTGAGGCTCTTCCCTGTGCCCCCGGGTCCTCTGCTTGCGCCCCAAAATTCCCTCTTGCGACCCCAAAATAATTCCTCTCCTTGTGGCCGGCGCTTCCCTGCTGGCACCCTGAGCTCCCCAGCAGGAGAGCAGAGGGGTGGCCGGGCAGGAGCTCCACCACGCTCTTCCTCCTCCTCCTCCTCCTCCTCCCCAGCCCCGGGGGTGGCTTTGGGGACAGCAGAGCCCGTGGGGACACTGGCAGCCGGTTGGTGTCGGGGCCGGTACCGGGGGGTGAGGAAGCACCGGGAGCTGCTCCCTGCGATCCCCATTCCCCCCCAAAATAAATTGGGGAGACTGCAGCCAAACCCAGCGCCCCGTGCCTCAGTTTCCCCGCTGCCTGGCGGAGGGAGGTGACAATGCCACCACGCAGAGGGGACCTCGTGACGCGCAGGGCAGGGCCGGGAGCTGCAGGATTTCCCCTTTTTCCCCGTTTTTTTTTTGCCGAGGAGGCGCCCATGGAGTTCTCGGAGCTGATCAAGACGGCGACAGTGGAGGACGTGCTGCTGGCACGGCCGGGGCTGCCCGCGGTGCGGGGCACCCTGTGCATCACCAGCCACCACCTGCTGCTCTCCTCCCAGCCCCGCGGCGACCTCCAGCTCTGGCTGCTCATCCGCAACGTGGACGCCGTGGAGAAAAGGTGAATTTGTCCCCAAGCTTGTCCCTGTCACTGTCACCCCTGCCTGAGCTGGAGGATATCCCCCACATCTCCCGCTGGGCGCTCCACGGTGCTGTGTGCTTCCTCTTCTTCTTCCTTCCTCTTCCTCCCACGCGGGGCAGGGCGGGCATTGACTCCTCTCGTTCCCAGAGGGCAGAATTTAGGTTGGTACCAACCCCCCCGCCCCGGCGGGACACCAAATTTGGCTATTTTGGCTCTCTGCCACCCGCCCGCGGTGGCACAGGAGAGGCTGGAGCCCGGCACAGCCCCCGAGGGTGGGGACAGGGCAGCTCGAGGCTGTCCCCGCGTGTCCCAAATTCATCCCTGACCCCCCCCATCCACGTCCCGCAGGGTCTGCGGCTCCTCCGGCAGCATCACTTTGCGCTGCAAGGACCTGCAGGTGCTGCAGCTGGAGATCCCGGGCATGGAGGAGTGTCTGAACATCGCCAGCTCCATCCAGGTGAGCCAAAGGCTTGGCCGGGGGGGAAAGCGAAGCTGTGGCACGACCCGGGCAAACAGCGGCTCGGGCAGCGCTGGCACAGGGCGGCCGTGCCAGCCGCGGTGCCCCTGAGCAGCCCAGCGTGCCCCACCGCAGGCGCTCTCCTCGGTGGACTCGGTGATGCTGCTGTACCCCTTCTTCCACCGCCCCCCGAGCCTGCGGCTGCGGCAGGGCTGGCACCCGTGTGCCCCCGAGTGCCACTTCCAGCAGGTCGCCTCGCAGGTGAGCCCGCCCGGGAGGGACGGGAGCATCCCCCGCTGGTCCTGTCGCTGATGTCGCGATGTCGCCTCTCCCCCAGACCAGCCGGTGGCGGCTGAGCGCCGTGAACCGCGACTTCAGCGCCTGCCCCTCGTACCCGCCCGCCGTGATCGTGCCCGCGGCCGTGGGCGATGACACCGTGGCAAAGGCGGCGCGGTTCCGGCAGGGCGGGCGCTTCCCGGTGCTCAGCTACTTCCACGCCAAAAACGGCACCGTGAGTCCGTGCCGCCCCTCTGCCAGCCCCTCTGCCAGCCTCTCTGTTCCTCTGCCCCTCTGCCAGTCCCCCTGCCCTTCTGCCAGCCCCTCTGCCCCTCTGCCATCCCCCCATGTCCCTCTGCCAACCCCCTCTGCCCCTCTGCCATCCCCCCATGTCCCTCTGCCAATCCCCCCTGCCCCTCTGCCAGCCCCTCTACCACCCCCTCTGCCCCTCTGCCATCTCCCCCTGCCCCTCTGCCATCCCCCCATGTCCCTCTGCCAGCCTCTCTGTTCCTCTGTCATCTTCCCCTGCCCCTCTGCCAGCCCCCCTGCCCCCGGGCCTCTCAGAAATGGGGAATTCCCTCTCCATAGGATTCCAGAATTGGGTTAGAAAAGAACTTAAAGCTCGTCCAGTGCCACCCCTGCCATGGCAGGGACCCCTCCCACTGTCCCAGCGTGTTCCAAGCCCTGCCAGCCTGACCTTGGGCACTGCCAGGGATCCAGGGGCACCACAGCTGCTCTGGGAAAGCCATTCTGGTCCCTCCACACGCTCCCAAGGAACAATTCCTGATTCCCAATATTCCATCCCTCCCTGCCCTCTGCCAGTTTGAAGCCATTCTCTGTGTCCTGTCCCTGCATTCTTTGTCCCAAATCCCTCTCCAGCATTCCTGGAGCCCCTTTAGGCTCTTTATGGCCACCCTGGAGCCTTCTCTCCTCCAGGCTGGACATGCCCAGATGTCGCTGTCGAGGCAGGACAGGAATGAGAAGATTGACTCAGAAGGCTGTGAGAGTAAATCTCTGGTTTATTCAAAATGCATCGCTCTTTTACACAGAGCTTCGTGAGGATCAATGGAAAAAAACCTGAGAGGAAAACTCCGGTTTATTCAAAATCTATCACTCTTTTATACAGAGCTCCGTGAGGACCAACTCCATTGGACCAATGGGAAAAAACTGAGAGTAAAACTCTGGTTTATTCAAAATCCACTGCTCTTTTACACAGAGCTTCTTGAGGACCAATGGAAAAAAACCTGAGAGGAAAACTCCGGTTTATTCAAAATCCACTGCTCTTTTATGCAGAGCTTCTTGAGGACCAATGGAAAAAAAACTGAGAGTAAAACTCTGGTTTATTCAAAATCCACGGTCTTTTATAGAGTTTCTTGAGGACCAACTCCATTGGTGCTGAAGTGAAAACAACTCACAGCATTGGTGTACAGTGCTTGACACACACTGATAGAACTTAACTATAAACAATGTGAATAACAAGAGAGATAAAGAATTATTTATATTCTTCTCCAACTCTTTCCCGGGCTTCTGCCTGGCTAGAAACTCTCATTTCTCTCTTTGACTGAGCCCCACGCCCAGCCAGGCCCCGTTTCCCCAGGCCCTGCTCCGCAGCAGCCAGCCCCTGCCCGGGCCCAAGCGCCGGCGCTGCCCCGAGGACGAGAAGCTCCTGGGGACGATCCTGGAGGAGGGCGAGCGAGGCTTCATCATCGACACGCGCTCGGCGCAGGCGGCCAAGCAGGCCCGGCTCAGCGGCGGCGGCACCGAGCCCAAATCCTGCTACCCGCGCTGGCACCGCCTGCACCGCGCCCTGGAGAGGTGAGAACCGGTTCCCTTCCCCCGGTGTGACACGGGGACGGTGCCACCACACCTCTGTCCCCCTGCCAGGGGCCGCCCGCTGCAGGAGAGCTTCGCCAAGCTGGTGGAGGCGTGCGAGGAGCCCGCGCCCAGCGTGGAGCGCTGGCTGGGCCGGCTGGACGGCAGCCGCTGGCTCGGCCACGTCAAGGCCGCCCTGAGCACGGCCTGCCTGGCTGCCCAGTGCCTGGACAGGTAAAGGAGCGGCATTTTGCCCATCTTACCCCCCATGCCAAGCCCACCGTGCCCCAGAACGCCGGGTGCCCCGCAGGGAGGGCTGCAGCGTGCTGGTGCACGGCGCCGAGGGCGCGGACGCCACGCTGCTGGTGACGGCGCTGGCCCAGCTCATCCTGCAGCCGGCCTGCCGCACCCTGGAGGGGTTCCAGGCGCTGCTGGAGCGGGAGTGGATCCAGGTGAGGGGTGGTGTGGTGTGAGGAGGGTTTGGTGCCAGCCCGGCTGGGTGTCTTCACCCCAGCTGGCCGCGGGCAGGCCGGGCATCCCTTCCAGCTGCGCTGCGCCCGCTCGGCCGCCTCCCAGGCGCGAGGGAAGCAGGAGGCGCCGGTTTTCCTCCTCTTCCTCGACTGCGTGTGGCAGCTGAGCCGGCAGTTCCCCTTCTCCCTGGAATTCGGGGAGCAGCTGCTCCTCACCCTCTTCGACAACGCCTACGCCTCGGCCTACGGCACCTTCCTGTGCAACAACGAGAAGGAGAGGTGGGTGCGTGAGGGGATCCAGAGCTGCCCTGGCAGGGGTCAGAACCCCCCTGGACAGAGCCCCCAGAGACACTGGCTGTGATCTCTGTCCATGGAAAAGAGTTTTCAATCTTACAGAATGAATTACAAGCTCTGAGGGTTTGATATAAGTAATAATTAAGTGTGGCACAGGTGCAAAAGTAAAATTTTAGGATTCTAGATGAGGGGTCCAAAGGGGACAAGATGGAGGAAATTGGGTGTGCCTTGTCCTTTTCCTCCTTCTTCATGCCCTCCATGTTTCACTGTGGTGTTGGCATTTTTCTGTTGGTTCAGGCTGGGGACACACTGTCCAACGTAGGTGACAGATATTGGCACGTTATTGTAAATCCAGCACAGGTAGTTTGTGGTATTTAATGTTTGTACCATCCCACTGAGGGCAGAGCCCCACACGCTGCCCTGCAGGACAGAGCTGCGGCAGGGCAGCAGAACATGGTAGAGATAAACAGAATAAACAACCTTGAAACAGCACAGACCAATTATGGCTTCTGCTTTGGCAGCGGGGCAGAAAGAGAATTTTTGCAGTCTGGGAATCATCAATACCCACAGATTCTGACAGGTGTGGGGCCAGGCCCCTCCTGTGCCACCCCCCATGTGCCACCAACGCCTGCTGGGGACTGCAGCGTGCCCCCCCTGTCCCGCAGGAGCCTGTGCCAGCTGAAGGAAAGCACACCCTCGCTGTGGGCATGGCTGAACCAGCCCGAGGAGCAGCACAAGTACCTGAACCCTCTGTACTCACACAACCCCCTGGTGATCTGGCCCTCCGTGGAGCCCCAGAGCATCCAGCTGTGGCGGGGTGAGTGGGATCCCCCAAAATCTCAGCAGCTGCTCTGCCCTTCCCTTGGGCTGGTCCTGCATCAGTCCACGACACGGTGATGGCAATGGGAAGATGCAGCAGCTCACAGCCTAAGCAGCAGACTAAGAACTTAATGTTACAATTTACTTTAAAAGCTTTTTGACTAATCCCACATAGCAAAAATATATTGACAGTAGTTCTATCCAATCAGTATAAATACACGTTTGAATTAACTATAAATATCAATATAAATATTTAGAACATATATTAATATATAAATATATATAAATATATATTTACATTTATATATTAATATATAATAAATATTTATACTAATATATATTTATAAAAGTATATTTATAAATATAAATATAAATATAAATATAAATATAAATATAAATATAAATTATAAAAACACACACCTTGAATTCAAACAATACTCTCTTATTTTAAATACAATATTTGCTTATAAACTTTAAGACACAATGCACAGAACTCTATTATTTAACTTAGAACTTCCTAATATCTCACCAAATATACTTTTCTACAACTTAGAGAGTTATTTATTATTTATATATAGAGAGTTATATATTAGAAAGTTATCCTAATATCTCACCAAATATACTTTTCTACAACTTAGAGAGTTATTTATTATTTATATATAGAGAGTTATTATATATTAGAAAGTTATCCTAATTTCTCACCAAATATACTTTTCTACAACTTAGAGAGTTATTTATTATATATATATATAGAGTTATATATTAGAGAGTTATCCTAATCTCACCAAATATACTTTTCTACAACTTAGAGAGTTATTTATTATATATATAGAGTTATATAGAGTTATCCTAATATCTCACCAAATACACTTTTCTACAACTTAGAGAGCTATTTTACCTAAACATTAATACACTGACTATTGTTTTATTTGACTTTTCTTTCTACTTCTTCTATAATTTTTCTGCTGACCAATCTTACAGCTACTACTTAGCTCTAATCACCATCTTGCTGTCTCTATAGCCTACCTTTACAATGTGCCCATAACCCTCTAATTTGAAAAAAATCCACCATTCCCAGGTTTTTTCCTTCGTTGGATCCGTCCTTCCCAGCACCTGGATGAGGCCTGGGAGGAGATCCGGAGGTTGGTGGAGGGAAACAATTCCTGCATGGAGGAGGGAGCTGGAAAAGGCTGAGCCAGAAGCGGCGCTGAACGTGGGCACTGGGACAAGGTGACACCGATTGTGCCAAGGGCAGGGACACAGAGCCCGGGCAAAGCTCTGGCAGAGGGCACAGAGCTCCTTCAGCTGCCCACCCCGAGCTCCTCGCAGTAAATCTCTCTGCCAGCCCCTGCCTGAGTGCTGCTCGTCCATCAGGGAGCTGCTGCTTCCCGCTGGGATTGCGGCAGGGCCCGGGAATGGGGCTGGGGCTGAAGGGCAGCAGATCACACAGAAACCCACACCAAAAACCCCAGCAGATCACACAAAAAAACCCTCAGCAGATCACACAAACCCCCCCAGCAGATCACACAGAAACCCACACCAAAAAAACCCTCAGATCACACAGAAACCCAGCAGATCACACAAAACCCCAGCAGATCACACCAAAAAATCCCTTAGCAGATCACACCAAAAACCCTCAGCAGATCACACAAAAAACCCTCAGATCACACAGAAACCCACACCAAAAACCCTCAGCAGATCACACCAAAAAACCCCCAGCAGATCACACCCAAAAAACCCTCAGATCACACCAAAAAAAACCTCAGATCACACAGAAACCCACACCAAAAAACCCCAGCAGATCACACAGAAACCCAGCAGATCACACAAAAAAACCCTCAACAACAGAGACTGCTGAGCCTTTGGAAGCACGGCTTGGAGGAGGGATTTTTCCACCCCACGGAACCCCTGAACCAGGCTGGGGTTCCGACACAAAACAATTCCTGCCTGCTGCACTTGCAGCTTTTCCACACTTCAGGGCAGGGCCTGAGGCTGTGCAGCCTCCCTGGGATGGAGTTCATGGATGGGCAGAGGTTCCAGGAGGAGCAGTGCTGCTCCATGGGTGTGGACAAAGCACTAACAACAGAGCTGGGAAAAAGTCCTTGGGTTAATTTTGGTCCAGATGGGGAAAACCAACCTAAAAAAAACCCCACAGAGGTGCTTTCCTTGTGTTTACAAAAGATTTCTATTTATTTCCTCATTTTTTTCCCTTCCCCTGATTTATAAATATGCCCAGCAGGCAGGCAGCCAAGCCAGGTCCCTTTGCTCTTCTTCCAGTAAAAGCCATTCCTGCCCTTTGGAGCTGCTGGAATTCCCACTTCCCCAACTTCCCCACAGCCCCCAAAATCGCTGCCAAGAACATCTTCAGGCCTTTCCAACAGTCCTGTGGTGGAGCAAGGGGTTGGAGAAGGGAAAAAGAAGAGGAGAGGAGAGGAAAATTCTCCTTCAGGCTTCAAACTCGAACTCGAAGTACTGGGGGTCGAAGTAGTGGATGCGGACGTAGCCATCCTCACCCCCGCTGCTGTAGCTGCAGGAGGAAAGGGAAAGTCAGGAATGCTGCTGGAAGCAAAGAATGGGAAGTCTGGCCTCACCACCCCCTCCTGAAACTGATACAGGGACCACAACGAGGGGAAAAAAAAGATCCAAGTGTGGGGCAGGGTGTGAGCGACCCCCTGGGCTGGCTCAGAATTCGGGTGCTGGTTCCATTCCCACCACAGAAATCCCCAGAGCCTGGTCATATCCCAGTTGAAAAGTGGGATTGGGTGGACTGGGGACACTGCAAGGTCCCCAGGGAGGCTCTCACCTCTTCCCATCAGGGTGGAAGGCCACACTGTTGATGGGCCCGAAGTGCCCCTTGACTCTACCAAACTCCTCCTCAAAAGCCAAGTGGAAAAACCTGCGGGGAGGAAGATTGAAATTGTCACAAGCCCAGGAGGGACAAAACCAAAAAAAAATAAGAGCTCAAGGGTTTCTCCAGCACTGCCAACTTCCCAAAAGCGAGGGAAGAGCAATCCTTGGGATGTCAGGAATGCTCTGGGTGAGGATTCGGCCCTGCCAGAGGGAAAAGCACCAACCTGGCCTCGAATTTGCCAATCCTGGTGGAGGTTGTGGTCACATCCATGGCCTCCTGCCCTCCACCCAGCACCACCTGCAGGGCAGAGAAACCAGAGAAATCACAGCCTTTCAGTGCTTCCCTCTGGGATTTAGGGAATCCTGGGCTCACCGAGGTTGGGAAAGACCTCCAAGATCGAGCCCAGCATTGACCCCCACCTTGAAACCAGTTTAGAGCAGTGAGTGCCCGGTCCAGAGGTTCCCTGGACACCTCCAGGGGTGGTGACTGCCTCCAGCACTTCCCATTAATCCCAGAAATCCCACAAATCTATCAGCAGTCCTCCAACCCTCTGAGGAATTCATTCCCACTTCTCTTACACAACTGAGCAGAGGACACAGAGCTTTCTTCCCAGCGCCTGACCCAGCAAAATTCCCCAGGTTCATTCCAGAATCCTGGTTTTAGGCTGGAGTGGGAAGACTCAGAGTGCAGGAATCACAGGATCAGGGAGACCCTGAGGGAGCTCATCCTTACGTGGTCAAAAATGGGGGAAAGGGCAGCAGAATTCACCGGCCGCTCTGTCCGGAACGTCTTCAGGTGCTTCAGGGACGTGCAGTCAAAGAGCTACGAGGGAAAAAGGAGAAATTCATGGATTAGCTCCAGATCAGGAGCCTCACTTGCATGGATGTTCCCTCTGCAAGCTCCAATCCCAAAAATATTCCCCCAGAAAGGGAAATCTCCCACCTTCCAGGGGCGACAAACTGCAAACGTTCCATGGAAATACCCAAAAATTTCATACTCAACGCTTGGCTGTTCATTCAGCACCTCCCCTTCCTCCCTGAACATTCCCAAGGAGCAAAACTCCCCCTGGGCAGAGATCCTGGCAGGAAATCTGCAGGAGAAGCTCACCTTGGCTGTGTTGTCCTTGGAAGCAGTGATGAACATGGTCATGTCCCGGGAGGTCTGGATGTCGTTGATTTGCTTGGTGTGCTCCTTGATATTTGACAGCTGCTCCCCTGACTGGAGGGGAAGAGGAATTTTCAGGGAGATGGGAAGTGATTCCCTCACCAAAACCAACATGGAATAGAACCCTGGAATGCTCAGAGTGGGAATTTAGGGGTGGATAGAGTTCCATGTCCCTGTGCTGTGTCATTTCCAGCTTCGCTCGGGGAAAACTCAATTTTAAAAGGGAAGGGGAAAAGTAATTTTCAAGGAGATAGGAAATTATTCCCTCATTAAAAACACCTTGAAAGATCATGGAATGGAATCCTGGAATGCTTTAGGTGGGAATTTAGGAATGGATTCAGTTCCACATCTCTGTGCTGTGTCAATTCCAGCCTCGCTAAGGGAAAACTCAGATTTTAACAGAGGAGGGGAAGAGGAATTTTCAAGGAGCTGGGAAGTGATTCCCTCCTTCAAAACACCTTGGGAGGACATGGAATGGAATCCTGGAATGCTCTGGAAGTGAATTTGGGGATGGATTCAGTTCCACACCATGGCACTGAGGTGTTACTTCCAGCCTTGCTTGGGGGAACCTCAGATTTTAACAGGGGAGGGGAAGAAGAATTTTCAGGGAGCTGGGAAATGTTTCCCCCATTAAAAATAACATGGAACAGAACCCTGGAATGCTCTGGAAGGGAATTTAGGGATGGATTCAGTTCCATGTCCCTTGCAGTCTCACTCAGGGAACCTCAGATTTTAACAGGGACGGGAAACAGGAATTTTTAGGGGCAGCCCCACATTTTACTGACCCTTGCTGAAGCTGTTTGGAGCCCCAAATCCCACATTCCAGCCCTGATCCCCCCAGGAATGCTGCCCCAGGCCCTGACCTTGGCACTGAACTGGTTGAGCTCCCCGTTCTCGTGGCCAGCAATGATGAACTCCCCGAGCGGGCCCCACACGGCGCTGGTGATTTTGGAGTCGCTGCAGGGAATCTTCATGTAGGGCTCGTTGTTCTCTGTGGGAAGGATTTGGATTTGCTCAGCTTGGATTTGGGCTTTTCCAGCATTTTAAGGGGGGTATTCCTTGGGGATTTGTGCCTTTCCAGCATTTCAAGGCTGGATTCTTTGGGGATTTGGGTTTTTCCAGCATTTCAAGGCTGGATTCCTTGAGGATTTGGGTTTTTCCAGCATTTCAAGGCTGGATTCCTTGGGGATTTGGGTTTTTCCAGCATTTCAAGGCTGGATTCCTTGGGGATTTGGGCTTTTCCAGCATTTCAAGGCTGGATTCTTTAAGGATTTGGGTTTTTCCAGCATTTCAAGGCTGGATCCTTGGGTGATTTGGTTTTTCCAGCATTTCAAGGCTGGATTCCTTGGTGCTTTTTATTTGTGGAGCTCAGGGGCAGCATTTTGCTGTTCCCAAAGGAACCCCACAGGGAAATAAGGAAGGAATTGTGTCCTTTGCTGACGTGATCACCCCACAACCACTCCCAGCTATGCAGCAAAGAGAATTTAAATTTTTTTTAGGGAAGAATCTCCTCTGCTCCATCCCTGGAAGCGCTGGAGCAATCTGGGACAGGGGAAGGAACCGCTGCCCATGGGAAGGGGTTGGGATTGAACCCCAAAAAGCAGAGTGGGATCCCTGAGGGGGGTTCCCTGGCCCCTCACCGATCTGGCTGGGGTCCCTGAGGTCGAAGAAGCTGACGAAGCACTGGTAGCCCATCTGCTTGTCCGTGGAGAACATGATGATGTTCCCTCCGAAGTCGAAGCCGCACGTCCTGACGGCCGAGCTGGTCTTCACCAGGGCCAGCTGCTTCCCTGGGGGAAGGGAGGGAGGATTTGGGAGCTCATTCCCTCATTCCAAACCAGCTGGGAGAGCAGGGAGTGGTTCCTGGAATGCTCTGGGTGGGAGCTCAGGGATGGATTCAGTTCCACGCCCCTGCTCTGTGTCACTTCCAGCCTTGCTCACGGGAAACTCAGATTTTAACAGGGATGGGAAAGAGGAATTTTCAAGGAGGTGGGAAGTGATTCCCTCATAAAAACACCTTGGGAGAACATGGAATGAAATCCTGGATGGCTTTGGAAGTGAATTTAGGAATGGATTCAGTTCCACATCTCTGTGCTGCATCAATCCCAGCCTTGCTAATGGGAGACTCAGATTTTAAAAGGGAAAAGGAAGAGGAATTTTCAAGGAGATGGGAAGTGATTCCCTCCTTCAAAACACCTCGGGAGATCATGGAATGGAATCCTGGAGTGCTTTAGGTGGGAAGTGAATTTAGGAATGGATTCAGTTCCACGTCCCTGTTCTGTGTCACTTCCAGCCTCAGATTTTAACAGGGGAGGGGAAGAGGAATTTTCAGGGAGCTGGGAAGTGATTCCCTCACTAAAAACAACATGGAATGGAATCCTGGGATGCTCTGGGTGGGAACTCAGGGATGGATTCAATCCCACATCCCCGTGCTGTGCCAACCCCAGCCCCAGCAGAGCTCAGGGACCCCTGGGAGGAGGGCAGGGACAGCAGGAGGGGCTGCAGATCCCTCAGGGAGCCATTCCCAGCTCTCCATGGAATGGTCTGAGCTGGAATTCACCAAAATCTCCCCCAGCCCTGGGCAGGGCCACCCCCCACCCACCCCAGGTGGCTCCAAGTGGGCTGGGACACTTCCAGAGCTGAGGCCAAACCCTGGGAATTCCCTCAGAGGGAAGAATTCCTTCCAACACCCCCCAAGCTCCAGGGGGATCCATTCCCGTGTCCTGCCCCTCCATCCCTGCAGGTTCTGTCCCCCAGGGGTGTCCCAGGGGGATTTTGGGGTGGCCTCACCTGTTTCACAGTCCCAGAGGCGGCAGCTGTTGTCTGCAGAGCCCGTCAGGACGTGCCTGGTGTCCCCTGGGCCACCATTGAGGGAAAATCACCCCAAATTCCACTGCCTGGCCACTCACTGGATGTTTCTGCACCCAAAAAATGGATTTTTTTTTTTTTTTTTTGGGGGAAAAATCTAGCCCAGGAAAGGCAGCACGGAGCCCAAGTGCTCCCACTGCAAAAGCCCATGGTTTTCCCATGAATTGAAAAGAAAAGGATCAGTTTCTTACATTTTCCCACACTTTTATCTCTGCTGCCCGTGGGAAAATCTTCCCAAATATCCAGGGAAAGGCACAGCAAATCCAAATATCCATTGGGATGTTTATTATTTGTTCCAAATGGAAAAACATTATTTATTCCAAATGGAAATCTATGATTTATTCCATATGGAAACATATGATTTATTCCATATGGAAACATATGATTTATTCCTAATGGAAATCTATCATTTATTCCATTTGGAAACATATTATTTATTCCATATGGAAACATATTATCAATTCCAAATGGAAATACATTATTTATTCCAAATGAAAATCTATGATTTATTCCATATAGAAACATATTATTTATTCCATATGGAAACATATTATTTATTCCATATGGAAATTTATTATCAATTCCAAATGGAAATCTGTCATCTATTCCATATGGAAATCTATTATTTATTCCATATGGAAACCTATTATTTATTCCATATGGAAATCTATTATTTATTCCATATGGGAATCTATTATCTATTCCATATGGAAACATATTATTTATTTCAAATGGGAATCTATTTTTTATTCCCAATGGAAAAACACCCAAAGGATGGGAAAAGAAGAGGCAGAAGAAGAGTGAGCTGCTCCTCTTTGAGAGGAAAATGAGAAGGAATCACCGGGAATGATTCAGCCACTAAAATATGGAATTAAACCGGTTTTTTTGGGGGATCAAAGGATACAATCGGCATCCACACACCACACAGCTCCCGTGTGCCCGTTGTAAGTCCCCAACCTCTCTCCATTCACCGAATACCAAACATTAACGATCTGCGAGGAGAAGGCAAAAATAAAAAAAATTAATAAATTAACTATTTAAATGAACGATAATCAGCGGGGGCGCGGAGCACTCACGGGATCCTTGGCCACGGTGAACAGGAGGTCTCCCTCGCGGTTGTATTTGATCTGAGTGATGGAGCGCTCATGGCCTTGCAGCAGGATGGGTTTCTGTAATTAATGATGAAATAATTAATGAGCGGCGCGAGGGAAATGGGGGTGAGGAGGAAAGGGGCGAGCGCGGCCCCCGGTCCGCGGCTCCTGGGACGCGGGGGGGCGGCAAAGCCGCCCCCCCACGCCCAGGAGCCGCGGACCGGGGGCTTGGAGTTGTTAAATCAGCGGTGGCGACTAAAAATCGCCAGAAACGAGCCCGCGGCCACTCCGGTCTCACCATGGCGGCCGCGCTGAGGCGTGAGGGGGAGATGCACTTCCGGGAAGATGGCGGAAACGCGTCACGGTCTCCATGGCAACGGAGCGACTTCCGGGGGAAGCAGGAAGTGCCGCGGTGTTGCCATGGCGACCGTGGGTGAGTGGCGGGGCGGTGATGGCGGCGGGGAGGGTTTGTTTGGGGAAGGGGGAAGGTGGCTGTGTGAGCGTTCAGGGATGCTCACACATTTCTATACAGGTGCTTTTATCGGAGAGCTCTGGGAATCAGGGGTGCAGACCCAAATCTGAGGGTGTTTTATATTCTATCGTTATATAACTTACATATTCATGATTCAACTTACATTGTTCTATTGTATACATTGACTTTATTCAAGCATGAGTTTGTCGTGGCCTTTCTCAAGCCCCTGACCACAGTTTCTCATGATTATTCTTAGGATTAAACAGTAATTATATTTAATCACTAAACAATCATCACATCTAACAATTATATACTTTATCATGTACTAGCTAGGTGCAGTTCTAGCAAGCACAAGGCCTACGCTTTCCCAGGATATTTTCCCAGGGCCTACTAAGGTTAATTTTCCTTCTAACCCTAAGAGTAAAGCAGGGATTTATTAAAAGCCTTTACAGGATACAGCTTGGGCAGCAGAAGAGCCTGGCCTTGTCTAGACCCAAGATGGACAATGCATCACAAGTTTTCACATTTTTATGAGTTTGGTCCATTTAAATATTGGGGATAATTGCCCAATTCCAGCTCCAGGTGCTGGAGTCCCACCCTCCCAGGCTGCTCTCCTCCATTGCCTGTTTGCACTTTTTGGGCTGGAGCTGCAGCGCTGTCCTTGGCTCTGGGGCTGGAAAAGGATTGTTCTGTGTGCCTGAGATGAAGGATTGTTCTGTGTGCCTGGGCTGTAGCTTTGATCCCATAGCCCTGATCCCAGTGTTCCATAGCCCTGATCCCGGTGCTCCGGGGCTGACCACGGCTCTGTCCCTGACCCCATTGTCCCCCCAGGACAGGCTCTGGCCCTGTCCCTGACCCCATTGTCCCCCCAGGACAGGCTCTGTCCCTGTCCCTGACCCCATTGTCCCCCCAGGACAGGCTCTGGCCCTGTCCCTGTCCCTGACCCCATTGTCCCCCCAGGACAGGCCCTGTCCCTGTCCCTGACCCCACTGTCCCCCCAGGACAGGCTCTGTCCCTGTCCCTGTCCCTGACCCCATTGTCCCCCCAGGACAGGCCCTGTCCCTGTCCCTGACCCCATTGTCCCCCCAGGACAGGCTCTGTCCCTGTCCCTGTCCCTGACCCATTGTCCCCCCAGGACAGGCCCTGTCCCTGACCCCACTGTCCCCCCAGGACAGGCGCTGTCCCTGTCCCTGTCCCTGACCCCGCTGTCCCCCAGGACAGGCGCTGTCCCTGGCGCTGGTGGCCGCGCTCTGGGGCACCACGGGCCCGTGGCTGCGGGCGGGCGCGGAGGAGCGGCGGGGCCCGCGGGGGCTGCTGGAGGAGCTGCGCCTCCTCGGCCTGAACCGCAGGGTGAGAGCCCCTCCTCATCCTCACACCCTTCCTCATCCTCATCCTCACACCCCTCCTCATCCTCACACCCCTCCTCATCCTCACACCCTTCCTCATCCTCACACCCCTTCTTCATCCTCATCCTCACACCCCTTCTCATCCTCACACCCCTTCCTCTTCCTCATTCTCACACCCTTCCTCATCCTCACACTCATCCTCACACCCCTTCTTCATCCTCACGCCCCTCCTCATCCTCACACCCCTCCTCACCTCATCCTCACACCCTTCCTCATCCTCACACCCCTCACACTCTCACACCTATACCTTTATATATATTATATAATTAATATCATATAATATAATAATATTATATATATAATATATAATTATATATAATATAATTATATTGTCTTTTATATCTTTATATATTCTATAATTTAATATAATTAATGTAATGCAATATAATATAAATAATATTATATATAGTTATTATATGTAATTATATATTTTAATATATTATAATATGATTATATTATATAATATGAATATAATATGCTATAATATAATATGCTATAATATAATATGCTATGCTATAATATAATATAATATAATATAATATAATATAATATAATATAAATATAAATTCTTATATGTAATATAATAAAGAAATCCTTCAGCCTTCTGGAGTCAGACATCCCCATTTCCTCCCAAACCCGTGCCTGGGGTGGGCTGGGGGTTGGCACTGCCACCCCCGTGCCCCCGCCGGGGTGCCAGGCGGGGACCCCCACCCAGCTCTGTGTCCCTGCAGTTCCTGCTGCCCTTCCTCCTCAACCAGGCCGGCTCCCTCCTCTTCTACCTCACCTTGGCCTCCACAGGTCAGTCCTCTGCTTTTTTGGGGGGATTTTGCGGCTCCCGTGGAATAATCCCAAATAAACCTGATTTCTCCACTTGGAACTTGAATTTCAGACTTGTCCCTGGCAGTGCCACTCTGCAACTCCCTGGCTTTGATTGTGACCCTGGTGACGGGGAAAATCCTGGGAGAGGACATTGGTGGCAAACGTGAGTCCCACTCCAAGAAATCAGCTTTTATTGGATTGACATGGTTTGATTTTTAATGCGGGGGATTTGATTTATAACATATAATTTGATTTATAATGTAAATAATAATTATATTTATAAATATAATTTAATTTAGAATGTATAGTTTAATTTATAATCTATTATATATTTATTATAATGAATTTATAATGTATAATTTAATTTACAATCTGCTCTGAAGACACCAAACACCACATAAGGCTTGAAGTGGGTCACAGCAACTTTGGCTGCCAGACCTGAAAGGGAATTAAAACGGATTTTGAGCAGGGCTGGTGAATTTAAAGCCAGAAGTGGCTGTTTTAAGCTGAAATAATTTATAGGCTTGAGCTTTTCCCTCAGGAGATGTTTAACCATGAACAAAACACCCACCATGGAAAAAGAGTGGCCCAAAATACCCCAAAAATCAACCAGCCCTGCTCAGGTGGTGAGGAAAAAGCAGGAAAATGGGCAATTTCCAACTCCAGGAGCTGGGGAACCAGCTGGAGGTTGTTGTTGGAGGCAGATTCCCAGTTTATCCCCATTTATTTGTCACTGATTTGTTTCTTCTCTCCCACAGGAGCTGTGGCAGGAATGCTGCTCACCATGCTGGGAGTGTCCCTGTGCCTGGCTGGGGCTGAGGGAGCAGCAGGGGCTGATCCAGGAGCTGATCCAGAAGCTGATCCAGGAGCTGATCCAAGGCAGCAGGAGCTGATCCAGGGCAGCAGGAGCTGATCCAGGGCAGCAGGAGCTGATCCAGGGCAGCAGGAGCTGATCCAGGGCAGCAGGAGCTGATCCAGGAGCTGCTCCAGGAGCTGCTCCAGGATCTGATTCAGGGCAGCAGGAGCTGATCCAGGGCAGCAGGAGCTGATCCAGGAGCTGATCCAGGAGCTGATCCAGGAGCTGATCCAGGAGCTGATCCAGGAGCTGATCCAGGAGCTGATCCAGGGCAGCAGGAGCTGCTCCAGGGCTCCTGGCTCAGCCCCACCCAGGAAGGAGTTTTGGCATGGCCAAACCTTTTTGGGATTGCACCCCCTGAGTGCCCCGTTGCAGGGACAGCCAATTTTGTGCCTTAAGGGGATTTTTGGCAGCTCTTTGAAGACCACAGGGATTCAATTGTTTTCTTCAGCACGGGTAAGAAATGGTTAATAAATTATCCTGTGTCACCTCCTGGCACTGATGGATTTTGGATTAGCCCAAACCCTTCTGACCACCCCTAAAGCCTTCAACCAGCCCCTCACTGAGCCCAAACCCTTCCAGCCACCCCAAACCCTCCTGGGCAGCCTCCAGAGCATCCGAAACCCTTCTGAGCACCCAAAACCCTCCTGTGCATCCTCCTGACCACCCCAAACCCTCCTGAGCACCCCAAACCCTCCTGTGCATCCTCCTGAGCACCCCAAACCCTCCTGAGCACCCAAAACCCTCCTGTGCATCCTCCTGACCACCCCAAACTCTCCTGACCACCCCAAACTCTTCTGACCACCCCAAACCCTCCTGAGCACCACAAAACCCTCCTGAGCACCACAAAACCACCCACCCCAAACCCTCCTGTGTATCCTCTTGACCGCCCCAACCCCTCCTGGGCACCCCAACCCCTCCTGGGCACCCTCCTGAGGATCCCAAACCCCCCTGTGCATCCTCCTGGGCACCCCAAACCCTCCTGAGCACCCCAACCCCTCCCTGCTGAGCCCAGCCCAGTTTCCATGCATGCAAAGGCAGCAGCAGAAGTTGTGGCCACGTCCAACACCCTCAGAGAAATCAGGGAGCCAGGCAGGAACAGGCTCAGCATCAGGAAAAGTTGGTTTTTTTTTTTTAATTCCCAAAAAAATAAAAACAATTCCAGAGCAGAAAGGATCCAGATCTGCAGTGTCCACAGAGGGGTCAGGGCAGGGAGGCACAGCACCACGTGGGAAGTCCCTTTGTGAGGGACCTGGAATGTCCCTGAGCTGAAGGAATTGACAAAGCACCAGGTCCTTTCCTGCCTCTGCCCGGGGAGACAATTCCAGAGGCAGAGGAAAAGCAGGAATGAGCCTTCATCCCAAGGATCAGGGGGATGGGCCCTCCCTCCCCAGCTGCACAGCAGAGCCAGGGAACTGCTCCCAAAAATCCAACCCTTGGCCACCCCAAACACGGATTCCCAGAGCTGTGTGGGAAGAGCTCCTTCCTGAATCCCCAAACAGCTCCAGGGCTGGGAATGCCAACCCTGCAATTCCCACCTGGATCACCCAGCTCAGCCACCAAACAGGGCTCTGGTGGCACAGCTCCCTCCAGGAGCTGCTGATGTTCCATCCTGCTGGGAACAGACACCCACAGAAGGATTTGTTCCCATTTTTCTGCATCCCAGGGAGCTGGATTTGGGATGCAGGCCTCCTTGGATATCACAGAGTCACCCCAAAAACCCAATTCCCAGCTGGAACCCCCAGAAGAGCTCGTTCCTGCAGCCCCAAACAGCTCCAGAACACGGCTGGGAGTGCCAACCCTGCAATTCCCACCTGGATCTCCCAGCTCAGCTCCCTCCAGGACACTCCTCGGGGTTGCTGCTGCTCCATCCTGCTGGCAGCAAAACCCTACAGAGGGATTTGTTCCCATTTTTCTGCATCCCAGGGAGCTGCAGCTGCCCCTGGTCCCTCAGGGCTGCTGCTGCTGCAACTGCTGCAGCTGCTGCAGCTCCGGGGCCTCTCCCCAGCAGTGCAGGAACTCGGGAATGCTGCTGCAGGCATGGTGAGGAATTCCCAGCTTCTGTTTCAGCAGCAGGAACTGCCAAAGAGAGACAAAACCTGCTTTGGATTTGCTTGCTATTGTCTTTGATATTTCCTTGTATTTTCTATTTTCTTTTCTATTGTCTTAGAAAGAAAATATAAAGAAATATCTGTTTTCTTTTATATTTTCACTTTTATATTTTATTTATATTTTCTTTTATATTTCCCTTATGTTTTCTTTTATTTTCCTTATGCTTTCTTTCTATTTTCTTTGATATTTCCTTTAAATTTCCTTTGTTAATCCTTTCTATTTTCTTTGCTATTCCTTTGATATTTCCTTAATATTTTCTTTGATACTTCCTTTCTATTTTCTTTGCTATTCCTTTCTATTTCCTTTACATTTTCTTTGCTATTTCCTTTACATTTACTTTGCCATTTCCTTTCTATTTTCTTTTATATTCCTTTCTATTTTCTTTGCTGTTCCTTTGGTATTTCCTTAATACTTTCTTTGATATTTCCTTTTTATTTTCTTTGATATTCCTTTCTATTTTCTTTGCTATTTCCTTTACATTTACTTTGCCATTTCCTTTCTATTTTCTTTGATATTTCCCTTATATTCCCTTTATATTTTGATATTCCTTCTACTTTCTCTGATATTTTCTTTATATTCCCTTTATATTTCCTTTGCTATTTCCTTTACATTTCCTTTGCTATTCCTTTCTATTTCCTTTGCTATTCCTTTAGAATTCCTTTGATATTTCCTTTATATTTTCTATTTCTTTCAATTTTCTTTGCTATTCCTTTACATTTTTTTTTAAATATTCCTTTTCATTTTGATATTTCTATTTTCCTTTCCATTTCTTTGCCATTTCCCTCCCAGCCCCTCATTCCTCACGTGTTTCCTGCTGGCCATGGCCTGTTGGATCCAGAGCAGCTCCAGCTGCAGCTGCAGCCGCTGCTGCTGCAGCTCCCGGCGTGGCAGTGCCTGCAACTCCTGCAGGATCCCTGCGAGAATGGGAGAGGCCAAAGATCAGCACCCAGGGAGCTCAAAATGCGCCCAAAATCCTCCAAAATCCACCCAGAATCTGCCCAAAATACGCCCAAAAATCTGACCAAAAATCCGCCCTGGGAGAGGCCAAAGATCAGCACCCAGGGAGCTCCAAATGCCCCCAAAATCAACCCAGAATCTGCTCAAAATCTGCCCAAAAATCCTCCCAAAATCTGCCCAAAATCAACCCAGAATCCACATAAAATCCACCCAGAATCTGCTCAAAATCTGCCCAAAAAATCCACCCAAAATCCACCCTGGAATGGGAGAGGCCAAAGATCAGCACCGTGGGAGCTCCAAATGCGCCCAAAATCCACCCAGAATCTGCTCAAAATCTGCCCAAAAATCCTCACAAATCTACCCAGAATCCGCCCAGAATCTACCCAAAATCCATACAAAAATCCGACCAGAATCCAGACAAAAATCCGCCCAAAAATCCTGCCAAAATCCGCCCAGAATCCACCCAGAATTCGTCCAAAAATTCACCCAGAATCCACCCAAATCCACCCAAAAATGTGCACAAACTCCACCCAAAATCCTCCCAGAATCCACCCAAAATCCGCCCAAAAAATCCACCCAAAATCCGCCCAAAAATCCATCCAAAAATCTGCCCCAAAATCCGCCCTGAAAACAGGAGAGCTGCAAAGATCAGCACCGTGGGAGCTCCAAATCCTCCAAAATCTGCCCAAAATCTGCCCGAAATATGCCAAAAATCCACCCAAAATATTCCCAAACCTGGGCTCTTGCTGCTCTCCGTGTCCCCCGACCCGGCTCCTTCCTCTTCCTCCTCCTCCTCCCCCAAATTTGGGGGGTCAGGGGGGGCTGGGGGAGGGGCGCGCCCCCGCTCTGTCCCCTCCTCCTCCCCGGTTTTCCCGGGAATTGGCTCCTGATATTGTGAGAGAGGGCGAAAAATGGGAGAAAAACGTGAAGGGAAAAATCAAGGAAGTGTAAAAAAAAAAAAAATGAGGGGAAGTGGAAAAAAATATGAAGAAATAGGAAGGAAATTTAAAGAAAATAGGAAGAAAAAATAAAGAAATATCAAGAAATATCGAGAAAATATAAAGAAATGTAAAAGAAGCTATAAAGATATCAAGGAAAATATAAAGAACTATAAAAGAAAATATAAAGAAATAGAAAATATAAAGACACGTAAAGAAAATATAAAGAAATATGAAATAAAATATAAAGATATATAAAAGAAAATATGAAAATATATAAAACAAAATACAAAGACATAAAGGAAATATAAAGAAATATGAAATAAAATATAAAGATATCAAGGAAAATATAAAGAAATATAAAAGAAAATGTAAACATATACAAATAAAATAAAAAGAAATATAAAGGAAAATATAAAGATATATCAAAGAAAATATATAGATATATCAAAGAAAATTTGAAGATATATAAAGAAATATAAAATAAAATATAAAGATATATATAAAAGAAAATATAAAAAAAATAAAATATAAGTTAGTATATAGAAACAGCAAAGAAATATCAAATGTAATATTAGAATACTACAAAAAGAAATATATGAAATATAAAGAAATAGCAAACATCAAATAAAATATTAAATACACAAAAGAAAATATATATAAAAAAGAAACATATAGAAATATCAAAGTAAATATTAGAATACATGAAAGAAAATAAATATAAAGAAATATATAGAAATATCAAAGTAAATATTATAATACATGGTAGAAAATATATAAAATATAAATAAATATATAGAAATAGCAAAGAAATGTGAAATAAAACATTAAAATACACTAAATATAATAAAATAAATAAAATAAAATATATTTAAATATAGAAATATCCAAGAAAACACTAAAATACACAAAAGAAAATATGGAAAATATAAAGAAATACAAGGAAATAGGAAAGAAAAATGTCATCAATGAGATCATTCCGGGCAGCCGCCGGTACCGGTGCCGCTCACGGACCTCGTTCCCGAAGCGCGGGCGGGGCAGGACGCGGCCGCTCCAGCTGAGCTGTCCCCGGTCCCCCTCGAGCTGCAGCACCAGCGCCTCGAACTCCTCCCGCGCCGCGCGGAGCTGCCGCCGCAGCAGGAACCCCCTGGCCCGGGCCTGGCACGGCGGGGCGGCGCTGGCACCGAACCGAACCGAACCGGGCCGGGCCGGGCCCGCGGGGCCGCCGAGCGCCGCCCGCACCGGCAGCGATGTGCCCTCAGCCCCCCAGATGTGCCCTCACACCCTTCCAGATGTGCCCTCACACCCTTCCAGATGTGCCCTCACACCCCCCCAGATGTGCCCTCACCCCCCTACAGATGTGCCCTCACCCCCCTACAGATGTGCCCTCACACCCCCCCCAAGGGTCTCCTCCCCAAGCGCCCCACAAGGCCCCGTCCGCCCTTCTCCGTCCCCGCCTGCCCCGCTCCCGTTCCCGCACCTGCAGCCCGGTCACGGCCCGGATCAGCCGCCGCCGCTCGGCCTCGGGCCCGGCCTCGGCCGCCATGGCCGCGCCGCCGCCTGCTGACGTCATCACGCCGCGACAGCCGCCATGGCGGGGGGGGCGCGGCCGGGGCCGGGCCTGAGGGGCGGCGGGGACAGGGACAGGGACGGGGACAGGGACAGCCCCGGGGTCAGGGACAGCCCCGGGGTCAGGGACAGCCCCGGGGTCAGGGCGCCGCGTCCTCCGGGTCAGAGCTCTCGGCCAGGTGCAGCTTCTGTCTGAGAGCGGGTCAAGGGGACCGCCAGCAGCGTCACTGGCACCGGTGTCATTGTCACTGCCACCACTGCCACAGTCACCATCATCACTGTCACCACTGCCACCACTGTCACTGCCACCATTGTCACCGCTGTCATTGACACTGCCACCATCATCACTGCCACCACTGCCACTACTGCCACTGCCACCATCATCACTGCCACCACTGTCACTGCTGTCATTGTCGCCACTGCCACCACCATCATTGCCACCACTGTCACTTCCACTGCCACTACTGCCACTGCCACCATCATCACTGTCACCACTGCCACTGCCATCACTGTCGTCGTTGTCACTGCTGGCATTGTCACCACTGCCACTGCCACCACTGTCACTCTCACCACTGCCATCCCCATCACCACTGCCACCCCTGCCGTGGCCACCCACCACCAGCATCACTGCCACCCCTGTCACTGTCCCGTCCCCAGCCAAGGATACATGGAGCTGCTGAGCTCTTCCAGCTGCGGGAGCAAAGGCAGAGGCTGAGGGAGCGGAGGGGACCCCAGGGTGTCCCAGGGGACAGGGGTGACACGGGGGTGACACTCACGTGTGCCAGCAGCTGGTCCAAGTTCCTGTCGGCCGCCGCCTTCTTCTGCTCCTGGGGCAGCTCCTCCACGCACACGTCCAGGCCGAAGTGCAGCCGCGCCAGCTTCTCCTGCATCTCCCGCACGTGCTCCAGCTGCTCGAAGGAGCACTCCTTCCCTGGGACATCCAGAACCTTCCACACCGCCTGCCAGCCCTGCCCCGGCCCCGGGCAGGAGCCAGCACAGCCCAGAGCGCCTGACAGAGCATCAACCCAACCCCCAGCTATGCCTGCTCGATGGATCCATCAGCCATCCATGGATCCACCCATGGACCCTTCCATCCATCCATCCATCATCCATCTATCCTCCATGGATCCATCCATCCATCCATCCTCCATCCATCCACGGATCCATCCATCCATCATCCGTCCCTTCCCTATGGATCCAACATTTTCCCCATCCCGCCCCGTTCCCCACGGATCCAAAATTCCCCAGCCTCAAAATTCCCCAGTCTGCTCCTTCCCATCCCACAGATCCCATCCCACAGATTCCATCCCATCCCACCCCATGGATTCTATCCTATAGATCCCATCCCATCCTGTCCATCTCATCCCACCCCAGTCCATTCCATCCCATGGATCCCATCCCACCCCACCCCATCCCATCCCATCAATCCCACCCCATGGATTCCATCCCATAGATCCCATCCCATCCCATCCCATCCCACCCCACCTCATGCCATCCATCCCATCCCACCCCATCCATCCCACCCCATGGATTCCATCCCATCCCATCCCATCCCCATCCCACCCCATGGATTCCATCCCATAGATCCCATCCCATCCCATCCATCTCACCCCACCCCAGCCCATTCCATCCCAAGGATCCCATCCCACCCCACCGACCCCACGGATCCCCCCCAGCCCTCCCCTCACCGAACGCCTGCAGCTTTCCCGAGTGGAAGTCGCTGAGGAGGCTGAGCAGCCCCCGCTCCATCTCACACACGTCGGACACGTCCGTGAGGAAGCTGTGCTGGAGCGGCGCCCCCCGGGACCCGCCCGCGCCCGCCCGCGCCCGCTCCTTGCTCGCCCTGCGCGGGGAACGCGGCGTTGGCACCGGCCCGAGGCTCCCCCGGGTTCCTCCCGATCCCCCCCGGGTCCTCCCGGTTCCCCTCGAGCTCCTCCCGGTCCCCCCCGGGTTCCTCCCTGTTCTCCCCGGGTTCCCCCCGGGTTCCCCCCGGTCCTCCCCGGGTTCCTCCCGGTTCCCCTCGAGCTCCTCCCGGTTCCCCCCGGCTCCCCTCGAGCTCCTCCCGGTTCCCCCCGGGTTCCTCCCGGTTCTTCCCGGGTTCCTCCCGGTTCTTCCCGGGTTCCCCACGGGCTGCTCCGGTTTCCCCTGGGTTCCTCCCGGTTCCTCCCAGTTCCCTCCCGATTCCTCCCGGTTCTCTCCCGGTTCCCCTCGGGCTCCTCCCGGCTCCCCCCAGGTTCCCCCCGGGTTCCTCCCGGTTCTCTCCCGATTCCCCCCGGGCTGCCCCGGCTCCCCCCGGGCTCCCCCCGGTTCCCTCCCGGTCCGCACTGACCGGCGGGGCCGCGGCCGCTGGCGGGGCGAGGGCAGCGCGGGCAGCGGCAGCGCGAAGGACGCGCTCTTGCTCGGGGGCAGCGGCCGCGGGGCCCCGGCGGGCAGCGGCTGGGCCAGGCAGCTCTGCGGGCTCCGCTTCTTCCTCCGCTCCTCCATGGCCGCGGCTGCTGCGGCACCGGGACCCTCCGTGCCACCGACACGGCTCCTTCCCTGCTCGGGGAGAGAACGCGGCTGCCCGGGGCACGGCGGGAGGGTTGGGGAGCCCCGGGACACGGGGGGACAGCGGAGGGGCCGGGGGAGCCCCGGGACACGCGGGGACAGCTACAGGCACCGGGATCCCCCGGTTCAGGAGTGACACCCGCGGCCACCGGTGGCGGCGGCAGGACCGGAGCAGGAGCTCGGTGCCTCGGTCTCCCGTTCCCGGGGGGCTCCGCTCTCTCTCCGCGCCCGGAGCATCCCCGCAGGAGCTCGGCCGGGGCCTGAACCGCAGCCGCAGCTCCGGTCGGGCCCCGTCTCTCGATGGAAAAGAGGATTTCGGTCCCGAACCGCCCCGGTGAGAGCGGAGCACAGCGGGACCGTCACCGCTTTGTCCCGCCGAGCCGCCGGGACGGGGCAGCTCCGGGGGCTGCGGAGCCGCTTTGTCCCCGTTGTCCGCGACCTCCGGCCGGGACTGACCTGCGCCAGGCCCGCTCCGGCCTCCGGGACCGATGAACAGCCCGAGCCCACCGGCCAGCGTCCGCACAGCCCGGGATTTGCATTTAAAGGGAAAGGGAACTTCCTCCAGGCTCCGCCGGGCAGTGAGCCCGGGATCAGCTCCGGGATCAGCTCCGGGATCAGCTCCGGGATCAGCATCCCGCAGCACCGGGAAGGCGCCGGGATCCCAACCCGCGGAGCCCCCGGGTCGTTCCTGCCACCCCCTCCCGGGCCCGGCCTTTACCCCGAGTCCCCTCCGGTGTCACCGCGGCGCCGCACGATCCGTCCCCGCTGGAAGGAGCCGGGAAGGGCCTCCAGCCCTGGCGCAGGGCCGGGATTAAACAAGTCCCGTCCCCCCCCTCTTCCAGCCCGAGCGCGGCTGCTCCTGTAAATCCCGGATTTTTAACCCATCTTGGACATTTTGGAGCCGATGGGGCACAAGGGACCGGCCGGGAGGGGCTGGGGGGTTTTGGTACCCCCATGGCCGGTGGCTGCAGCACCCCAGGGTGGGAGATGCCAGGTCACGCTGGGGACCCCCAAATTTCCTCCCTGAGCAGGGACATCCCACCCACAGCAGCAAAACGCCCCTGGAGCCTCCCCCGGCTCGTTGGCGCTGGAGAGGAGGAGCAGAGCTCAGGTGAGTTTGTGTGATGGGGAGTGGCTGCTCCCCCATGGGCGCAGGTGTGAAGGACAGGTGAGCCACCAGTGCCCAGGTGTGCTCACAACCACACAGAGCACACAGATGCAAAGTGTGAACAGGAGGGGATAATAAATTGGGTAAAAAACAATTAGCTTTGCAGCTTTCTGAAGCGACCCGATGTTGCTCTGTAAGGGCTGGAGCTTTCTGAAATTGCACGGTGGCACTCTGGGTATCGTGGCTGTCTCAGCTGTGACACGACACAGGGATGTTGTGTCCCACAGAGCCACCCCACAGCCCAAAAATCTTCACTTCACCCCCCAGTGTGGTAAAGAAGAGAGACACGAGAGGCAGCAGCGAGGTTGGGAGTGTCTCTATTGGATACAGGATACACACCAGGAGGTTTCTGTACCTTAACAGGGAAAAGACAGAAAAAAAACCGGGGTTTGGTGAATTTCTAAAGGGTTTTGCTTTAATGAAGTCCAGATGTCGGCAGCAGCCCTGGCTCAGCCCGGCCGGGTTACATTCATGGATCATCCTGGAGGAACCACGCTGGGGCTGGAAGACAAAGCCACCAGAGCTCCAGGGACTGTCCCAGTGGGTGCCCGGGCAGGGCTCTGCTGAGCCTGTCCATCCTGCCCTCCTCAGCATTCCCGGGAATCCTCTGCAGGAGGAGGGGCACGGAGGCAGCTCCTTCGTGGAGGGAAGATGTGAGAGCAGCTGTGGTGCCAGCAGAGAATCCCAAAGGGATCCCCCGGGTCCATCCACGGTGGGGATCAGCTTCCAGCACAATGCTGGTGATAAAGTCTGTCACAAAGAGAAGCTGCAGCGAGGTTTGAAGCGAGTCGAGTCTTCCAAAAGAACAGCAAAAAGACAAAAAGTCTTGACAAACTGAGGAAAATCCCAAATCCTGGTGCCAGCAGGTCCCACGTCTGTCCCTAAACTCCCTCCCAGCACATCCAGGCCCCGCGGGGTGAGGCAGCACTGGGGAGAGGCTCTTCCAAGCAGAGAGGGGAAGGAGAAGTGGGGCTGGGACAGCACAGGCACCCCCAGGCCGGGGGGATGGAGGAGCAGCCCCAGGAGCACACACAGCTCCGAGCTTGGATCCCTCCCAGCTCCGTGGATGCCTCCAGGGCTGGGCCAGAGGGGCTCGGGGGCACCTCCCCAGTCCCTGTGCACAACGATGCAAAACACTTGGGATTTAGACCTTTGGGTTAACTGTTTAATACACTTTGTGCACGTGTGCGTTCAGCAAAGAGGCAACTGTGAATTGTAAGGCGGTTTTGAGATTGGCAGGGCCTGGGAAGAGCAAAAATTCCCAAGGGTGGGACCAGGCACCCCCTCTCCTGCTTCTCCTCGTCCCCACTGCGGACCCAGAGCCCGCAGAGAGCCGGGGAACGGCCTCTGGTGCCCTCAGCAGCCAGGCACGGGGAGAATCCAGCCCTGGGAATGCTCTGGGGTTCTCCCAGCTCTGCTGTCACTCCTGTGACAGTGGAGGCATGTGCCTTGTACCTGTGCAGGGGCACAGATCCCTGGCGCTGCTCTCCTGAGCCTGCCAGTGACAAGGTCCTTTAGTCAGAGGGACAATCAGTTGAAGCTCCGTATTTTCAATATTCACACAGGCAGGGAGCTGGGCCCTTCTGCTTCTTATGGATATCCATAGATAAAAGTGTTGCCCTGCACATTTATATATATATATATATGTGTATATATATATATATATATATGTAAAATCTTAAAAAAAACCCTCCAAAAAACCTAAACTAGGAAATCTCACATCCCCCAGGAGGGCTGTGCCCTGTCCTTTCCCACCAGGACAAGCAGAATGGAATCTAAAGCAGCTCCCAGGTCACCCTCCCTCACCCCACCCGCGTGTCCTGCCCGGGGTGGGGGCTCAGTCGGTGCCCCCAGTGCCCTCCTCAGTCCCGCTCTGCCCCGGTTCTGCCGGGATTCCCGCGGGGTCGGGGCTGCCCGGGGCCTTTCCCGAGCTCGGGGAATGCGGAGCTGCCTCGGGGCTGTCCCGGGATGGCTCCTTCAGGGGCTCCTTCAGGGATTCCTTCAGGGGTTCCTTCAGGGGCTCCTTCAGGGGTTCCTTCAGGGGTTCCAGCAGGTCCGTGTGGGCACACAGGTCCTGCACCTTCTTGTTGAGGTCGTTGCGCTCCGTCTGCAGCGCCCGGCACAGCTTCTCCAGGCGCTGGATCTTCACCTGCAGCCCCTCCAGCTCCTTGTCCCGCAGCGTTTTCTGCAGGGAGAGGTGGGGTTAGGCGGGATATTGGGGTGAAATTCCTCCCTGTGAGGGTGCTGAGGCCCTGGCACAGGGTGCTCAGAGAAGCTGTGGCTGTCCCTGCATCCCTGGGAGGCTCCAAGGCCAGGCTTGGAGAAACCTGGGACAGCGGAAGGTGTCCCTGCCTGTCCCATGGGATGAACTTTAAGGTCCCTTCCAACCCAAACCATTCCATGACTGATTCTAGGGAAGCCTGAGAGGGGAAACCAAGCAAACCTTCAGCACCCCAAGCACCAAGGAGCTTCTTCCTCCCTTTGGCCTCACAGAGCACCGAGGCAGGACCCGTCCTGTGCCCACCCCACCCTCCCCAGCTGCTCCAGAGCCTCCCCTCACCTCTTCTGCCATCTCCAGGAGGGCCTTGTTGCTGCTCTCCCAGCGGGAGCGGTACATGGTGGTCTCCTTCTCCAGCTTCTTGATTTTCTTGGTCATCTACAGAATCACAGAAAGGGCAAAAATTGAGTCACAAAAAGTCCTGAGCTGGAAAGGGATCCACAGGGAACAAAATAAATAAACCCCAGGTCTCCTTCTCCAGCTTCTTGATTTTCTTGGTCATCTACAGAATCACAGAAAGGGCAAAAATGGAGTCACAAAAAGTCCTGAGCTGGAAGGGACCCACAGGGATGAAAATAAATAAACCCCAGGGAGAACGTTGCAGTGACATCCCACAGGTCCTCATGTGTCACCCCAAATTTTGGGGGTAGACCCAAAATTAACTGAAATTACGGAGCTGGGGCTCTTCCAGCTCCCAGCAGCACGGAGGAAAAAGCATCACCCACCTTCTCCATCTCCTGTTTGAACGTTGTGAACACTTCACTGCTTTTGGAAAGGGTGTTCTGGAACTCCTCAAACTTCTCTGTGTACAGAGCCAGCTGTGGAGAGAGGCAGAGAACTCAGTGCCTGGAGAGGGGAGAGGCCAGCCAAGGGCTGAGCTGCTGCCCTGGGACATGGACAAACAGCAGGAGCTGCTCTGCCAAAGGCAAACCCTGTCCTAGGGAAACATCCTGAGAGTTCTACAAACTCCTCCTGGCCGTGGAGGCTGATCCCATGACTGCCCTGAACAGTCTCAGCTCGTAAAACCAAACCTGGCAGGGATCCTCTGCCCCTCTGTTTTCCACATTAAGGAACTTTGGGTTGTGCAGGGAGGGAGGGAAATCCCCAAACAAAACAGGCTGAGCAGGGAACTCACCTGCTGCTTGAGGTGGGTCTCCTGCTGCTTCATCAGCTCACACATCCTCTGCGATTCCACAGCCTCCTTCAGCAGCTGGGGAAAAGCAAAGCAGTTATCTGGGAATGCTCCTGGCACAGCAGGGCTCCAGCCTGGCTCCTGGACATGCCAAAATCCAGGACAACACCCTGGGATCCACCCTAAGAACCAAAAAGTTCCCCAAGAAACTGCTCCAACACTTACAAAATCCTTCTCCCGCTGGTGCCTCTCTTCTGCCTCCTTCAGCATCTCCTGGGCCTGCTGCAGTTTGGCATCCACCAGCTGCTGCTGCAGCTCCTTGTGCTTGAACACCTTGTCAATGTGCTGCAGGGAACACCACAGCTCAGGGGACACCCAGAGCTCCCTCCTCCCCTCTGGCAGCTCCCTGTGGGAATCCAGGGCTTCCCTCTGGCTGCCCTGGGACCCTGGCAGGGGTCAGAACCCCCCTGGACAGAGCCACCAGAGACACTGGCTGTGATCTATGTCCATGGAAAAGAGTTTTCAACCTCACAGGATGAATTACAAGCTCTGAGGGTTTGATATAAGTAATAATTAAGTGTGGCACGGGTGCAAAAATAAAATTTTAGGATTCCAGATTAGGGGTCCAAAGGGGACAAGATGGAGGAAATTGGGTGTGCCTTGTCCTTTTTCTCCTTCTTCATGCCCTCCATGTTTCACTGTGGTGTTGGCATTTTTCTGTTGGTTCAGGCTGGGGACACACTGTCCAACGTAGGTGACAGATATTGGCACGTTATTGTAAATCCAGCACAGGTAGTTTGTGGTATTTAATGTTTGTACCATCCCACTGAGGGCAGAGCCCCACACGCTGCCCTGCAGGACAGAGCTGCGGCAGGGCAGCAGAACATGTTAGAGATAAACAGAATAAACAACCTTGAAACAGCACAGACCAATTATGGCTTCTGCTTTGGCAGCGGGGCTGACAGACAGAGACTTTCTACAATCTCAAAATCACCTAAACAGCACAAATTCCAAGAACCCACCTCCTCCCGCAGCTCGTACTGCTCGATGAGCTTCTTCAGCCTCTCAGCCAGCTCCATGTTCTCCTGGCGCAGTTTGGAGTTGCGCTCGTTGTGCTGCTC